AAACTATAGGGGCGCCTGGGTGGCTCAGTCGGTTAAGCATGTGACTTCAGCTCAGGTCGTGATCTTCGGGTCCTGGGATGGACACCACATTGGGCTCCACACTCAACAGGGAGCCTGCTTCTTCTCCCTCTGCCTCTGCCCCTCCCCCTACGTCTGCTCTCTCATTCTCTCGAATAAATAAATAAAATCTTAGGAAAAAAACAAAAACCCGTTAAGTAGAGACACCATGTTAAAATGTGACAAGTATGATAGGGAAAACATAGCACGTTACGGTTGCTGGGGCACGGATGTCTCCCTGGAAGGTGACATCTAGCAAAGACCTGAAGATGGTGATGGAGTGAACAAGGCCGTAGAGTTGCTCCTCACACAGGGAACAGCCAGTGCAGAGATCTCAGCGAGTGTGAGCACACAGGCCGGCTGAGGGTCTCACCCCAGTCTGTACATGGGGCGAAGCTCAAGCCTGTCTGACCCAGACCACACCCTCTTCCCCACCATGCCGTCTGCTCCGAAGACAGAAGGCCCCTGCACCCATGACGGGGTTGTTGACTCCTGCATCTCACGGAGGAGTGGCCACGGGCCTTCCCTGCCTGGGAGCTCCCACCTGCAAGGGACCTTCTGAAAGCCGCCTGGGCGCGGATGCTGCCGGGACCACCAGGGGGCGTCGCGCACCCAGAAACAGCCACACGCCGCGCACCGCCCCTCAGCATCTGGACCCAGAGCAGAAAGGCCAGGGCTTGATGTGGGCCTCCACTGCCTGGCCATGTGACGGTGAGGCAACGACTATGTGACCACGGCCTCTCTGGCACTCTACTCCCCCTTACAAAAGGTCACTTTCAGGGCAGCTCTGGTTGCCCCTCCCCAAAGAAGGACCACAGGGTGTCTGGAAACGGGAGATCCAAAGCACACTGTTGTAGGGCATGGAGAGCAGGGGCGTGGCCGAGCAAGACTCGGATGGAAGAGACCCCAAAATTCCTCCACTGCATCCAAGAGCTAGGGAACCAGACAGACTCTGAAATTCGGGTTGGGGGTGGCACCTGGGGGGCCTCTGACTTGGGCTCAGGTCATCGTCTCAGGGTGCTGGAGCCCCGTGGTGGCGGGCTCCGCACTCAGCTTGTCCCTCTGCCCCCACCACCACCACCACCACCCCCGCCCCTGCTTGTACTCTCTCTCTCAAATTAATAAAATCTTAAAAAAAAAAAAAAAACAACAAACAATTCGGGTTTGGGAACCCACCCACGAACACCTCCAGAAACAACCTCCCTTGCACTGCCTGAGGAGATGTAGAGAAAACCCCACCCCTGCCTTACAAATAGGCAAACTGAGTCCTAGAGAACAGGGGTTTGCCTTACCCGAGGTCATGTATTCGGGTGGCGTAACTAGACACAGGCCCAGGACGCTGCCCACAGCTCCTACTGGACTTACACAGAACAGGGAAGGCCGGAATTCTGTTCGGAGCAACTCCCAGCTCTTTACTGACCTGAGAAGGTCGACCTACACAGACCCGGAGGGCATGGAATGCTGAGAACAGCCCCTCCTGCCCCTCCACGAAACAGGAGCAGCCCCAGGTACTGTGCACAGCTCCTTCCGGCCCTGGACCCACCACTGGGGATCCACAGGTCGGGTGCCAGGGGGCTGGCCTCTCCAGGAGCACCCCCACACACACCACCACCCACACCCATGCCCCTACCAGCTCCCACTGCCCCCGCGGGCCCCTCCTCGCAGCTCCCGCCCACTTCAGGGCTCGAGTCACGCCCCACCCCTGCACACGCATTCTGCCCAAGGACCCACAGCCTTAGTCAGGCTGGCCCCACCCCGACAGATGCTCTCAGCCCTGGCTCCCCGGGCACAGCTCAGGGCATCAGCCACGTGTGGGCTGTCCTGTGACTGCCGGGCCCACAGTGCCCAAGACAGGCCTGGTCCAGAGCCACTGTTCGGTAGACATTGGTTGGAGTGATGTGGGCTTCCTGAAAAAGAACCTTCGGCGGGGTCTGGGAGGAGTAGCTGACCACAAGCCGAGGTTGCGGCAGGGGGAGCCCAAGCCAAGAAGTGGGAAAAAGGGTGGTGAGGTACCCAGGGGCTCAGACATTCCCCAGCCCCTGCTAGCCTGGGCCTACAGTTGGCCCCAGGAACACAAGAACCACTGAGCTCATGAGGGAGGCACCAGATCCCTGCCCGTGTGCCCCAGATCTCCCGGGGTCCCTCACCTCCACCCAAGTCCCTCCTGTTTTGGGGGGTGGAGGCAGGAGGGTGCTCTGTAACCCACAGCGCTCCAGGATCCCCACCCTGCCCCCAGTGCTGCGGGGTCCCGGTCTGCCCCAGCCCTCTGTGCATAGTTTCCCATCTGGGCCTCAAGTGGGTGGGATCCACAAGGGGGGTGCTCCACAGTGGGCCCCAGGGGTGTGGGGGAGGGGCAGGCCCAGAGGACAAAGAGTCTGGGCTGGGGAGGGGCACCGCGCCCACCCAGAGGGGACAGTGGCTCAGTGTCCAGGCCTCCCCCAGGCGCACAGTGGGCTCTTGTTCCCAGACAGCTCCTCAGGGGGGAGTCCCAACAGCATCTCTGCTCTGCTGACCCCCTCGGGGCAGGAAGAAACAGCAGCCCAGGGAGGGCCTGACTGCTTGGGGTCACGCATCATCTGAGTCACTCTGGCGACAGTCGAGGCTACCCACCCAGGGCCCAGCCCCATCAGGAGACCCCTAACTGGGCATCCGGAAGTGAGCTAAAAGTGCTGACAACTGCTTAGCAAATGCTAAGGGTGGGGACCGGTCCCGGCAGGGGGGCACGAAGCAGGGGCAGACACGACACCCAGGCACTCCGGACAGCACAGGACAAGCGTGGGGCTCATGACGAGGGCCCCAGATGGGGCTGAGCGACAGAGGGCCCCGCAGGGTCACAGGACCACTAGGGCTGCTTTAAATGGATGGAGAGACCTAGGAGCAGCTACCTCCTCAGGGCAGCGGGCTGGGTGGGGAGCAGGGGCAGGTCCCACTGAAGCATGTTCCTGCCCTGGGGATGAGCGGGGACCCTCCGGGCGGCCACACGCACCGACAGAAGACGGGCCGCAAGCCAGGGCAGAGCCTGGCCTGAGACACCGGGCAGACCCTGCTCACCTTCACCACCTGCAAGCCTCAATTTTTTCATCTGAAAATTAGGGGCCACAGCAGTGCCTGGCACACAGAGGTGCTTGAGAAGCAGCGGCTGAACCAAACACCCGGGCTGGTCAATGCCTGCCGGCTCTGCGGGGCTCCCTGAGGGCAGCCCGCGGAGGAGAGGGGAGGGAAGTGCAGGGACCAGGCGCATGTACGACCAGAACATTAGCCATGGGAGGCACCTGGCCGTGGGAGCCTTCGGAGATGCCCAGTTTGGTAGGGTGTAACCAAGAGGCAGGAGGAGACTGGGGAGCAGGTGTGGCCTGCCCCAGCCTGGACAGTGGCCAGAGCCACTGTGAGACTGGATCCTCAGGTGCGAGCGGCGGCCACCAAGGCACTCGGGCCTGCTCAGCCAGCTGGCAGGACGATGCCAGCAGGGGCGGCTGGAGGCTGCATGGAGAGCCGGGATGGCCCAGCCCCAGGACAAGACCCACCAAGCCCCGGCCCCGCCCTGCCCAGGGGACCGCCCACCGCCAAGGTCAGCTGGAGCAATGGCCCCACCCCAGGACACCTGCCCAGGCGTGTCCCCAGCTCACCGGAGCATGATCCCAATGCTCCAGTCTCTACACTAGAGCCCTGACCTCTGACCCCCCACTCTTCTGTTTGACTCCTAATCTGATGCCCAACCCCCGAAATGCCCTGTGAGCGGGGATCACTAGCCGTGTGGCCTCCCAGAATCCAGGCCTTCACCACCCACATGCTACCGTGTAGCAAAGCAAGTCACCTGGCCTCGCTGTGCCTCTCTGTCTCATGTATAAATGGCATCATGCTAAAAATGGTACCGATCGAGTCCTCAGCCCTCCTCAATGCTCCCAGACCTCACCACTTCTCTGTGAAGGAAAAGAGGTCAGAGAGCATCAGGGCAGGCCCAAGACCTAGCTGATGGCCTGCACAGTGCCCTCTGCCCGTCCCCAAGGGGACACATCCATCCCTACCTCCCCATGTCACCCGTCACAGGACAGACATCACCCCAGACAGGTATGCAGAAGGCCAATAACAAAACAGGAGGCTCCCTGCTACAGGAGGCCCCGAAGGCACAGGAATCCCTAGTGATAATTACACTCCGGGACCTAACCAGGGAAGGTGCTGCAGAGGAGGCACTAGCCCTGGGGAGGGCTACTGCCCAAAGGCTCAATAGGCATGTACGGACCTGGGGGTCCCCGACAACCAGAATCAAAGCCCTGGACCCCACTGGCTCTGGCAGGGGCTGAGAGGGTGAATCCACCCCAGGTTGGGGAGCCCCAAAGCTTAGAGAGGTTGCAGGTCCGTGCCCCACAGTCAGCCAGTCAGCAAGGCACAAGGGAAGAGACTTAGCTATAGCAGATTCTGGCTTCGACAACCTGAAGTCTAGCTGGGTCTCGAGACTTAGGTGAAAGCCTCCCCCAAGCTGCAGAGGGGAAAGGCCCACATTCTACCAACATGCCTGGCTCAAGGGCAGATGAGCAGCCAGGCCACCGCTCAGCGCCCCCAGAAGTTCCCCCACTGACTTGACGCACGTGTGCTCCCGGTGCCCTGACACCCTCGGGCTTAGTGAGCTCCTCCCCGGACAGGCCAGCTCCTGGATAGTACTAGAGAGGTCCCAGGAGGGGACGCCAAGTCCTGAAGTCTGTTTTAAGAGCAGAAATGGCTTGTCGTCAGAAGCCTGGCACACCTGCCGGAAATCTGGGTCTAACTAACCCTGCTGACCTATCACAAGCCCTGGGGAGGATCCTCTGTACCATCTTCCAGATAAGAAAACTGAGGCTCAGAGAAGCCAATCACCACCTGAGATCACCGAGCCTCCAAGGGGGGGTTCGAAGCCTTGGACAATGTCTGCCCAGGAGATGGGGTCCAAAGGACCCGTGTGCCTGCCTAGCTGGCCCTGGCCACAGCCCCCCAGGGCCCCCAACTCCACCCTGTCCTGACCCAGAGCCTCTCTCTCAGCTCAGGGAGGAGGGGTCGCCCTCAAACACACCCAACCCAGAGAACAGGCAGAAGCCAGGGAATATGATCCTTGGGTAGAAAGTGGATCCTGTCACGGACACCGAAGCTGGAAGGGGAGCACCTCACATCCAGGGAGAGGAGCAATGGGGTGTGCCCTGAGCAGTCGTTGGGAGCTGAAAAGACCCTGACGGGGGGCCCTAAAAGGCAGGGAAGACCTGGGTGATCCCCTCTGAGCCAAGGGCCCCCGGAGAATATGAGTTCCCAGGGACAGCAACTTGGCCGGACACTTAATGCTGCATGAGGGATTCTGGTCATGACAATTCTCCAGCTCGGCTGCCCTCAGTCGGCCTGTCTGCACAATGGAAGGCTGGTTGGCTGCTTGGAACGGTTGGGATGGGGCCTGGGGCCCGGCATCTTGAATTTGGGGCCCCTTGACTCCTGTGCCCACCTACTAGCCCTGCGCCATTCTCAGGGAAAAGGACCCAGCTTGCCCAGAATGGCCCCTGGTGGCAGGGGGCTCAGCTGAGGGACCTCTTGGACCCCAGCCAGCTGTTGGGTTCCCTACCTTCCTCCTAATTTCTGGGGGCTCTCTAGGGGGCTGAGGCTGGCTTCAGGGGGGTGGGGAGAACCCAGCATCTAGTTGGGCCAAACCTGAAAAGCCAGTTTCATCCTTGAATCTTCTCAGTCAGGAAGTCCCAAGGTGGGGGGGGGGGGTTTCCCAGCACAAGGCTAGGGCCTCGGGATCCAGGCCCCGCCCACCCAGACAGACACAGAGACACACAACCCAAGCTGCACGGAACGAACTCGGGTCAGGAACCAGCTGGGCCTTGGGCAGGCATGGCTGCGAGATCCCCTGCCCATTCCCCATTCAGCCACAGACAAGCCCCCAGCAGGACAGACAGCTAGGCCCTCCCCCGTACTCCGAGCACCTGGGGTCCAGCCTTCTTCCCTGCCAATAGAAGGCCTGCCTCTAGGCACGCCCCCACGCCCCCCACCTCCGCTCCTCTAGGCCACTGAACACAACGCGGGGGGGGGGGGGTCTTAGGGAGTAGCTCCCCGGTCCCCGCAGTTCCAGGACTTACAGAGTGGGGAGACAGGGGTTGCGAAGTACCCCGCCCCTAGCCCCCCCCAACTACTGCTATTACTGGTGATCGTATTCCCATCCCCTGTGAGGACGGCTGGGACAGGGACGATCCCGAGGAGTTCCACCCTCGGAGCTGGAGTTTCGACTTGGAGCACCACCCACCGGTGGCGGCCGGGACGGAAAACGTCAAGGGGGGGAGGGCACAGCTCGGAGGAGCCTGGGGACACCCCCAGACTCCGAGCCCGCCCGCTCCCAGGACCCTCAGCTGTTGGGCGGGGGCTGGAGCCGAGCTGTCCGGCCCGGTCAGGCCGCCGGGACGTGCTAATCCGGCCCTGGGCTATTTTTGCGGCGCGCCGGGTTAGGAATCCCGGGCTGGGCCGCCTCCGCGGGTGGCTCGGGAAACTCCGGGAAGGAAAGTCCGGACGCCCCGGGCGGGGACTCGCCCGGCCCCGGTCCCAGGCCTGGACCCCGCGCCCGGCCCGACCCCAGCCGCTGCCAGCGCCTCTGGCCGTGGCGGGCTGAGCACGGGCCCCGCGCGCAGCGGACGCAGCCCCAGAACCCGCCCGGCCCGCGGAGCCCTGCGCCCCGGTCCCGGCGCGCTCACTCACCGCCGCCGCCGCCGGCACCGGGGGTGTCCTCGGGGGTCCTGAGGGCTCCGGGGAGGGGCTGCCGCCGCCGGCCGGGAGGGCGCCCGCGCCGAGTCCCCGCCCGCGCGCCCGTCCGGCCCGCCCGCCCGGGAATGCCATGGAGCGAGGGGCGTGCGCGCCGGGGGCGGGCCCGGCCGGAGGGGGCGGCCGCGCTGACTCAGGGCTCAGGAATGCGCGCGGCCCGCCCGGCCCCAGTCACCTCCTCCGGGAAGGCCGCTGGGCTCCGCTCTCCCGTGTGTCCGGCCGCGGGGATAGCTGCGGCTGGGGGTCTTGGGTGCCTTGGCCGGGGAGGGAGGACCTAGTGGCCCTACGGGACAGAGCCTCCGCGTCAACGGAAGTCCTGAGCTCCTCGGCCTCTCCCGGCCTCTAGGGTGAGGCCTGACCTTATGCTGCCTTGACTTGTGCTTGAGAAAGGGGGGGAAGGGGCAGGCGTGGGACAGTGTCCCTGGATCTCCTGTAAACCGAACCACCGACCTCCTCCGAAGGCCCACACTAAATCACTCACCCTACACGCACCCGGTCCCATAGGAGCACTCACACTCACACTCACACTCATACAACACGTGCTCATGCATTCGTGCAGGCACACACCCACGTGCTCTAACCACGTATCCACACACACCTGTTTACAGAGTCAAATGCACACCTTCACACCCCCTTCCATCCAGTTATACACATGCACACAACCACAACTATACACTCCCACTCATGTGTTTACCCAGGGCTGCACACACGCACTCACAGCAAAGGCAGGTTCAGAGCCCTGAGCCCCTCCCCAGACCCCTGTGCTCCCCGCAGTCACTCCCAGGCCAGGCTGGGCCTGCAGGCCCCCAACCCCAACCCATCAGGGCAGAGACAGCACTGCTGGTTTCCACTCCGCATGCTTCGCTCTTCCAGAGCTTGCCCACTGCTCCCGGGGCGCTCATCCCTGCACCCTCTGAGTCGGACACGGAACGACCCATCTGCTTGAGGCTGAGGTGCGGGTGGGAATTTCCCAGCAACCCTCTCTCTTGACTTTGTAGGACTATGTGGGGCTGAACCACCCAGAGGACGACCAGGGAAGGGGGGAGGGGAGTGCCAACAGCAGGGTACAGGCAGGGTACCCAGGCTGCCTCATGATGGTCTCCCTTACGGCCCCGGAGAAAACAGAACTGGGACCACAAGTCTCCTGAGGACCTTTTCACTAGTTGCCAGAACACCTTGGGGCACCTGTGGCCCCGCACCGCAAGCCTTGCAGTGCCTACGAAGATGCCCTTTGCTGTTCTGGGACCAGGTGGCACTGGCCCTCTCTGAACAGAGTCGCTGCACCGTCAGCAAGTCATGGCGGGCCTGACTGCAGACAAGACCCCGTTCTTGACTACACAGAAAATAACGTTGATGGCGTGAGGTGGCAGCCAGCTTCCGGGCTGGCCCTGGAACCTGGGCAAGGGACAGAATCCTTGATCATATCCTCACCCATACCAGGGGACAAAGCGGTGCCTCCTCTATGAACACAGGCATATCAACACAATTCTCCGGTAGCTTTGGAGGAGTTATAGGAGGACTCCTTCACTGGAGGGTGGGGAGGGTGACTACAGGAGGACTGGGCACACAAGGCGAGAGGGCGGCTGCCCAGTGCTGATGCTCATGGCCCCTGCAGCCTACACGTGCTACTCCTCCCATGCCAGGCTCTCGGCCAGACAGGACAGTCTCTCCATGCCAGGCATTCTCGGGCATGCTCACCCCCTACGAGGGATCAGCAGGCCCCGCCCACCTGGATGCCCAGGTGAGCCTGGCAGGGCCAACGGTGGGGTCATCTCTGGAGTCCGGGGCCTGGGCTCGCCTCCAAAGCATGCCATGGCTGGGCATCCAGTGTTGGCAGGTCCCCTCTTGCAGCAGTCTACGCGTTCAGTGACAGGTAAATGGCCTCCCCCTGTGTTCGTTCAAGTCACCTCCTCCGAAGGGTCCTCTCGGTTCCTGAGCTTAAGTGGGATTCCCAGCAGCCTCTGTTACAAACCCTTGCCCCTCACAGGTGCTGCTCCCGAGGCATACCCCAGTATACCCAGGCGGGCAAATCCAGGAATTCCCCAGGTTCTCAACCCACCCCGGCATCCTGAACAAGGACCTTGGAATCAAAGGATGGTGCAAGCAGAGACCTGGACCTAGTCCACACGGACACATGTATTCATGTATGTATGCTCTGCCTCATGTCGGCCCCACTGTCCTCTATGCTCTGGTGCAGCCCCTACATGGAAAGCCAGCTCCCAGTCCCTCTCCTCCCTCTTCCTCCCCCCAGCCCTAGAGAAATGGAAATCAACTGCAACTGCCTACCATGTGGACAGGTGACTGGGGGTGGGTGGATATCTGGACCACCCCCGTGGCTGTGGACTTCACCCTAGGACCTGAGGGGGTAAGAGCCCAACCAATAGGAGGGGTTGCCATCAGCTACCCTGGAGTCCTCAGCTCAGCAGGCCAGTTCCTGGGCTTTGGGGAGCCTGGGTGGGCTCAGCTCCAGCCCCTGGCTCTTTGGGGAAGAGATGAAAGTGGGCCAGGCCAGCCAGGGGCCTGAAGTCACTGACTATTCCCGAGGCAGCGGCCCCTCCCCGTGTCTCAGTGCATGGCGAGGGGTCCCATAAGCACCTGGGCCCAAGGCTCAGCAGCACGACATCAGAGCCCCAGAAAGGGAGGAGGCAGCCCCCACACACCTCCTTCGGCCACCCTCTCTGCCCAAGGAGGCTCTGACCCCCACAGAGCCCGTCAGATGCAGAGAGCCTTCGAGGCCAGTTGGGATACGAGAACCCCTGAGAAGCTGCCGGAGGGCCCTCCGCCGTCTGACATGGAGCCCACTAGGCTCTGACCCGACTCTCTCCCTTCCACGGTATGAGCATCCCTACATTAAAGGACGCCAAGCCAGTGCGCTGGGTGCCCTGGGTCAGTGCTGGTGCTGGAACTGGGGACTCTGTGCTATGCTTTCTCTCAAGGCTTCAGTCACTGGCAGCCCACCCCGGCACAGATCCCTTTCAAAGCATGAAGGGTGTCCTCACCTCCATCTGGCACGGACATCCTCCAACACACCTCTCTCGGCCCAGCAGCAGGGCACACTGGGGACAGAGAAGGGCCCTAGGCCCCTCCTCCTGCCAGGACCACCTCCTCTCACCCCCAGCCAGCCTGCCCAGCAGGCCACAGTGGGAACGCTCAGCCCACCACTTCCAGCCTGCGGTGGAGCCTCAGACCGCGAACCAGGAAGTGGGGGCGGGGCAGAGGAGGGCCCACCCTGGAGAGGTTTCGCAAGCCCCTGCACTCAGGCGGGAACATCTGGAGAAAGGAGGTTGCTGGCGCCAGCTGTGCCTCCTCCTGGGGGCCAGGGCTGTGCTCTGAGCCTCTCTTTCCTCATTCTCAAGGTGGGGGTAAAACACCCCTTTGGGAACGAGTAGGCGCCCCATGATTTCTACAAGGACCACGCACCATTTGTGAAATCAGAATAAAAATTAATACAAACGACGCCCACCCTGCCCCAGGCCTCACCAGGAGGACAGGGCCCGGTGGGGGCCTCAGTTTCCCTCCCAGAGAGAGGAAGAGGGAAAGGGAGGAGAGAAGGGGGACTGGGCACAAAGGAAGGCAGGAAGCAGGCGTCATTGTTTGGGCCGAACGGCTGCAGGGGGTAAGAAGGAAAGACAGGGGTGGGAGTCACAGCTAGGCCTGCCTTCCGAGCATGGATTTATGACACATTGCCCACCCCCGGAAGCGGCACAGAGTACCACAAACAGCTGGGTGGATTCCAGCAGGGGCCCTTCCTCCCCGGGGAAGTCCTGGTGGGAGCCCTGAGGGGAGGGGGCCAGCAGCGCTGCTGGGCCTGGGCCTGGGCCCGGGCCCAGCCTGGAGTTCAGCCCCAGGGCTGGTCAGAGGAGGAACACAGTGGGAGCCCAGAATGCTCCCAGCCAGAGCTGCTCTTCTCATCCGAGGCCCCATCCACATGGCCCATCCGGCACTTCCTACCTGACATCATCCTATGCCCAATTGCTCTCTGAGGCCCCACAGATACCCCCTCCCAAGGCCAGGGTCACAGAAATCAAAGTGCAGGCCCTGCTCGTCAAGGGTTTTCCCAGGGCAGGGGTGGGTGATGCAAGAGGGTGGGACTGTGCCTGCCACAGCAGAAGGGCCCTGCAGGGGACCCTAGAGCTACAGAGTGTATGTCAGGGAGAGGGGGGTGACTCTGCTGGGTGTTAGGTCCCCCATTCACCCTCCTGGTCCACAGGGGCCAGCGGTGCGCCCCTCCCACCCCCCCATCCCAGCCCCACGATTGTCCCCAGACAACAGCCCTGTGCTTGAACACCTCCCCCCCACCCATGGCCCTTCCTTCCTCTGGACCAGGCACTGCCCTCCCCAAACTCTCTTCGCCCCCCCGGCGCCCCGCCCTTGGGGACTCCAATCCGATTTAAGAGATTACAGGCAGGGTGGGCAGCATCAGAGGTGGGAGGGCTGGACGGTCCCCATACCGCCTCCAGCCGCTCCCCTACGAACTGCAAGCCGGGCGTTCCCGGGTCCCCACAGCCCTAGCCCCGGCCTCAAGCCTCTTTTGAGGAGGCTGGCCACGGTCCAGCAAGCCCGCCGAGGACGTGGGCGGGCTCCTCTGGGCATCTCTGGGCGGCAGAAGGGGTGGGGGCTCCACGGCGGACAGAATCCCCGGACCCGCCCGTGATGATGACCCGGGCAGGGGGCAGGGGCTTCCGGATAGGCCTGGCATCCGCTTCCTGGACAGTCTTCCTGGCCCACTCCCCATGTCCTCTCCCAAGTGCCTCCCGGAGGTTGGGAGCAAGTTAAAACCCCTCCGCAGTCCAGGAAGGCGTGTCCCGAGGACCGGGGCTCCGCCGCCACCTCCCCCACGCTCACTCCATTGTCACCCCACCGAACCGTCTGCGGGCCACCCCCCCAACCCCCAACCGGGGCCCCTCGAGGACCTAAGCAAGACTCGTGACGGACCAGTCCTCTTGGGGGTTCGACCACTGGCTGGCGGCCGTGCAGGGACCACCGTGCACGTGGGGGCGGGACGCAGGTCACTGGGAGAAGCACCAGCTGCGGGGGTTCTTGCGCCCACCCCAGCCGCTCCCCCCCCCCCCCCGCCTCACGCCACAAGTGTCCCGGCAGCCCCCGGGCCTTTGTCCAGGATGGGAGGAGCCCCCCACCCCACCGTCCGGCCCCTCCTCCGGGGGCGGATCGGTGCCGCGCGGTCGCCGCCGCTCCCCGAGCTTCCGTCCTCCTCCGCGCAGGCGCCGGCGGCACTTCCGGGGTCGCTTCTGGGCGGGCGGGGGGTTCCCGGCGCTGCGGGTCCCCGCGCCCCTAGCCCGGCCCGAGCCGCGGGATGCCCGCGCGCGGCGCGGCCCAGGTGAGTGCGCGCCCGGGTGCGCGTGCTTGTGGCTGCGCGCACGGCCGCCCCGCGCTGCGGCCGAGGAACGAACGGGCTCCGGGGCGGCAACCTCCCCGCAGTGGCACCAGCGCTGAGCGAGCACCCGGGGAAAACCAGTAACGTGCGCGCCGGCCCCTAACGGGGGCTGCAGTCCGCAGACGGGCGCCCACCGGCGTGGCGGCCCCGGCTCGGCTGCTCCCTTTGCTATTAGGAAAGTCGAGGCCCGACCCGAGGTTGCCGGCGACGTCTGGGAGGAGCCCCAGACCCCGGTTTCCTGGTTGAATGCGCTGCACTGAGGCCCAGCTCAGACATGTTCTCCCCGGGGGCCAGGCTGCGACAGAAGTGACGTGGGTTTGGCCCAAGGGGCCACTTTCTCACGCTCCTCACTTCAGCGCTAGTCACAGCCGGATCAGTGTTCTCTCTGTAGTTACTAACTCTTGTTTTCCCGGGTTTTGATGGAGGGCTGATGGGTCCATTGGACACCCACATCTAGGCCAGGCTCTTTCCTGCCCTCCGCCGGCTGGACCCACTCTGCCAGAGAGCCTAGTCCCCAGGTTTTGCCTGGACGCATCCTGGGAGGAGGGTGTTTGTTGCTAACGTTCATGGAGTGCTTGCTGTATGCCAGCCACGTGCCGGCGGGACTTCTCTCATTTTATCCTCCTAACCACCTTGTGCCACAGACACTCGCCCCCTTTCTACAGATGAGGGAACAGAGGCACAGACACTTGAGGTCATTTTCTGGGGCCCTTTCTTTAGGGAACCCTCATTTCTAACCCGGGCCAGGGATGCATGTGAGGTGCCCAGGTACACAATTTGACGCAGTGCTCACTCTTGAGTGCGATAGCAGGGTCACCCTGCTACTTAGTCGTGCGGCCAAACCGCCATGAAGGCCTGTGACGTTCAGATTCTAGGTCTGTAATAGGGAAACTGAGGCCTCTCTGAGCCTCAGTGCCTGCGCAGTTTTGTGAGTCCCTCACCACCCAGGGTGGGCCAGAGTGGACCCGGCATGACCCGAGTGCCATGAGGCAGGCAGGGGGCCAAACTCCAGGTGGCAGCGTCCCAGCGTCTGAGCCCATGGCGGGTACTGGCAGATGGGCTGGGCTGCAGAGACAGTCACGTCAGCGTCCACTCTCAGTAGACTGGCAGTCTCCTTTCGATCTGGAACGTCAGCACTTATGTTAAAAATAATGGGTCTGTCACATGCCAAGGAGATGTGGGTACTACTGAAAACCAGCCCTTGCGGACGGTGTTTCCAGGCCCCAGTGCTCACCTGCTCTTCATCTTCTCCCACTTGTTGTAGCAGCTGGTCCCAGAACAGCTGAGTGTGTGTGGTCAGGTTTCTCCGACTGCGTGGCAGCAGGTGGGAGGTTAGGTCTTGTCCCTTGGGAGAACTCACCTTTGCCCCACTTGCTCCTTATCATTATGACATCCTGGGTCATGAGAGGACAGTTGGAGACTCACCAGGGGTCATGCCCTGAGCACTTGGGTTGGAGCAAAGAAGCCTGGTGCTCCCCGACCTGTGTGTGTCAGGCCTTCCTGGCCATTCTGAGGAGGGGAGCCCTACCAACACGTCAGCCGGGTGGGAGGGAGTGTGGAGGACACAATGACCCACAAACCACAAACGTTCCTTGGCCAAACCCCATCAGGGTCATGGATGTGCTTTTATTTTTTTTTAATTATTTTTTATAAAGATTTTTATTTATTTATTGAGAGAGAGAGAATGGTAGAGAGCACGAGAGGGAAGAAGGTCAGAGGGAGAAGGAGACCCCTTGCTGAGCAGGGAGCCCGATGCAGGACTCGATCCCAGGACTCCAGGATCATGACCTGAGCCGAAGGCAGTCGCTTAACCAACTGAGCCACCCAGGCGCCCATGGCTGTGCCTTTAAATTCCTGGTTACGGGGGGCAGCTGGCCGGCTCGGTCGGAAGAGCATGCAACTCGATCTTGGGGTCATGAGTTTGAGCCCCATGTTCGAGTGTAGAGATTATTTAAATATAAAAAATCAACTCCCGGTTAGGGTCAGTGCAAAGGGCTGGGTTCCAGAAACAAGATGAGAAGTTTGTTTGAGGTCCACGTCATGAGTGGGAATCAGGATACCAGCCCTCCTGCCCTAGGCTCGGGCCCCACTGTCCCCTCAGGCCCTGCAGCCCTTTACCATCAGCCTGTGCATCTTCTGCATGTGGACAGTGTGTGGATCAGAGTGGCTACTCTCTTGCTGCTACCAACAGCCTGTCCTCCCGCGCAGGCCCTTCCCGAGCCTCCGGGGGCCCAGCACGGGGCCGAGTACATCAGGTATTGCATTTCCATTGGCACCCTGTTACAACCCCCCAAGGGGATGCCTCCGTTTGACAGATGAGGCCAGCAGTCGAATACGGTCCCTCAACTCTGACTTCACCACAAAACCTTTTCAGATTTATTTTGTCTGTTCGCATTACAGCTTTCCCGCAGAATGGGGCAAAAGAAGCAGCGGCTGTTGGAGGCAGAACAGCATCCGAGTCCACCAGACAGAGCCCAGACGCTTTCCCCTCTGGAGCCCTGCTTGCAGCCGCCTGCAACCCTGAGCCCCCAGCGCAGCATCTACTTCTCAAGCCCAAAAAGCCACTCTGCACAGCTGGGATCTGAGTTTTTCGACCAGCCCGCTGTCCCCCTGGCGCGGGCATTTCTGGGACAGGTACTGTCACGTGGCCGAGGAGTAGGCAGAAAGGCTTCAGGCTGAGGAAGACGCAGTTCCCTGGCATGCTCAGCGCTCCGCAGGCCCGCCCTGGTCCCCTGTGGCCTGGACTGCTCTCCCAGGTGCCTTGCTGACCTGAGAGCCCCTGCCCTGTCCTCAGCTGGCCCTTCTGTCCCCTTGGGCCTCACCCCTGCCCGGGGTGCTGTCTGGGCCACCTGCAGCCGGCTCCTCTCCCTGGCGGACTGCTCCTGGTGGCGCTGGCTTACACCCAGGGCCGTGGTCCAGGCCGGGGGCACTGCAGGGCAGCTGGTCCTGCTGCTCGGGCCTTTCAGAGCCAGGTGCGTGGGAGCTGAGGACGGTCCTTTGTGGTCAGTCCAGGTGGAAGGCGTCACGGGCAGCTGTGTGGGGACAGCACCGGCGCCCCATGCCCTCCATGCTGCCCTGCCCCAGGCTCCGCATTTAAGTCCAAGGGGACTTGGGGAGGAAGAGACAGGGAGATGGGGGGCCCCTCCAAGAAGACTTGAAGTGTGTGACTTGACGAGTGCTGGCTTTCCAGCCTGGCCCTGGCCGGAGCTTGAGACAGCTGCCATCTGTGGACAGGACACTTAGCAGGGCCTGTGTTCCCGGGGTGGGTGAGCAGCACAGAGGGGACAGTGGGAGGCCTGGCTGGACCTGGGCGCCCCGGTGCACCCTGAACTGGGGAGATGATGCCCAGGCTGTGGGCTGTCACAGTTGAGTGTACCACGGCCCCTCCCTGCTGAGCGGACGGACTGCCCACAGGTCCTGGTTCGACGACTTGAGGACGGCACAGAGCTCCGCGGCCGCATTGTGGAGACGGAGGCATACGTGGGGCCAGAGGATGAAGCTGCCCACTCTAGGGGTGGCCGGCTGACCCCCCGCAACCGTGGCATGTTCATGAAGCCAGGAACACTGTATGTGTACATCATCTATGGCATGTACTTCTGCATGAACGTCTCCAGCCGAGGTGAGCAGTGCTGGGGTGCTGGGGCAACAGGAGGCCTTGGACACAGTCCCCTCTTTTGGCGGCTGGGAGATCCCTGGGAGGACCAGGCCGGGGAGGTGTCACTGCTGAGCTAGGTTAGGCTTTCAGGAACGCTGGCTACACTGCCAGGGTGGTTATAGGTGCCGGGCCCCCCCCTGGATAGAGGTCATGGGTTGACCTGAACACAGAGCTGACAGGTTCCGCAAGGACACCAATGGTCACAGGGATCAAAGGTGGTGTCTCCTATGACCCAGGGTGGACCTGGGAGGGGCTGGTTGTGGGGAAACGAGGGTAAGATCAGTTTGGGTTGAGTTGGGCTCAAGCCAGAGCCTCGCCAGGGGGTCAGTTATAGGGTCTGAATCAGTCATTCTCAACTGGGGATGATTTTGCCACCTGGGTGGGGTACCATTAGGCAACGTCCAGAGATGTGTGGTCATTCCAGCTGGGGACGTGCTACTGGTGTCTAGCAGGGGGAGGCCAGGCATGCTGCTGAATGGCCCCCACCACACAGAATCATCTGGCCCCACATGTCAGCAGTGCCGAGTGGAGAGATGCTGGTCTAGAGCTCCCAGGAGAACCTGCTCACCCTGTGAGACCTGCTCTGGGGCACTGTGAGCGGGTGGCTGTTTTCCGGAAGGTCTGGGCTCAGAAGGAAGAGCCCACAGCACTGTCCTGCCTGAGGCACTGCTGACCAGGAGGTCTGCCTGGCCCATTCTGGCCAGCCAGTCCCAGCCTGTGTGTGTCTGTTGAATATCCCCACTGCCCATCCCAAGAGCAGATGCTCAAGGAGACCAGTAAGAAGCTTGGGGTCTGGTATGTTGTGTGTCACACATTTGTTGAATGATTCCAATGACCTGGGAGTTGTGCTTGCACCAAGGAGACAGCTGGGCATGTCCATTGACAGAGCCGCAGGGGCTAAAGGGCCTGCAGGGGACCCACGATTGGTCCTGTGCCCAGCACAAAGCAGGTGTTGAGTGAAGCTGAGTGACTGGACACCAGAGGATGGCAGGGTCCTCTTGTCATTCTGGGGAGCTTACTTTGGTTGTCTGGCTTTACTTTGGCAAGAGAACCAACCCCCTCTTGTGCAGTGGGACTGAACTCAGAGTCTAGCGATGCCCAGGGCTGTGGTCAACAAGGAAGGGGAGAAGCCCAGGATTTTGGGGTTGTGGGGGGAGGTACAGTGGACAGGGCAGACATTGGAGGTGGTGCATTACTTTATGGCCATGTGACCATCCAGGTCAGTGCGGGGACAGGAAACCACACAGGTACAGTCAAGGCCAAGGGTCATCCGGGCAGAGTGAAGGGGAGGGGAGGCCCAGGACGTGGTCGTTGTCTGCCTGCCCTCAGGGTGGGGGTGGCACAGAACCAACCAGGAGGGCAGGTGGTGTAGACGGAGGACTAGTGGGTGAGGACGGGGAGACTTGGCAGGAAGAGGTTAGGGTGTCGTGCTTTTGTCGGGATGAGGGACTCCGATGCACTCCAGGGTAGGGGTGTGGGGATGGACGAGGAGGCCGCTCCTTCATCCCAGGTGCAGGGGCTCCGCGGGACAGTGAGGGACATGTGTGGCACCCCCGGGGAGCCCGGGAATCACAGAGGCACAGGAACTTCCAAGGCTTTGTGTACCCCGAGTGTATCTTGAGGTCCTTGGAGAACGGGCTGGTTAAGGGGCATCTGGTCAGCTGCTGGCTACCTGAGAGGGCCTGGCTGCTGCGTCCCCTCGGGGCTCCCAGATGCCAGTGGGGAGACCCTTGTGGCCAGGGTCCAAGGGTGGAAACTGGCCTGGCCACCCGAGCCTCTCAGACCCCCTGGAGGCAGGGGGTGGCCTGGTCAGGAGAGCAGCCTTGCTGGAGGGTCCTGTCTCCAGCCATGCAGGACTGAGAGAATTGGGGCAGATGCATCTTCTTGCATGAGCCCCGGGGCCCAGGGTGTCCATCTGCGGTCTCTGGTCTCTAAAAGTAGCTGGGACTGGGGCACCCGGCTGGCTCAGGTGGTGCAGTGTGTGACTCTCGATCTCCAGGGTTGTGAGTCTGAGCCCCGTGTTGGGTGCAGACATGACTGAAAACAAACGTGATACGCAAAGGACCAGAGCTAGAAGGGATCCCAGGGGAGTGAGGGGCTGTGTGCCGGCATCTCCCCCCCGCCCCCCGGCACAGTCTCCCCCTGCGTCACTGGGCAGGGCTCCCCCAGCAGCGTGAGCACACCGGTAGCTGTTCCGAGCCGACCTTCCAGCTTGGAAGGTTCCAGCTTACCCGAGCAGGTAAGGCAGATGGGGTACCCTACAGCCGGCTCAGAATCTGGCCCAGGCCTGAGGCTTCCTGCTTCCTGGTGGGGTGACCGTGCTCACAGATGACTGGCTCTGGGGGATTTCCTTGGCCAGCGTCACAGCTACTGCCAGCCACCAAACCAGATGAAGCCAGGGAGGAGGCCGGCTACCAGCACCCACCATGCTTCTTAAAAAATAGGTTCTCAAAAAAAAAAAATAGGTTCTCCCTAGCTAGTGGTCATTCGGCCTCGTGTACACAGCCCACCTGGTGCCACAGGCGCCTTGCAGGTACGAGTCTGCAGAAGGTGGAGGCAGCAGACGTTTGGAGACTGAGTGCGGGGGTGCTCAGCACCTCTGCAGCACTGGACGTGCTCCGGGGTAGGGAAGGCAACAGCCTGCAGAGGCTCGGCTTTCTAGGCTGTCTGTGTGTCCCACAGGGGATGGGGCGTGTGTCCTACTGCGAGCACTGGAGCCCCTGGGGGGCCTGGAAACCATGCGGCAGCTTCGTAGCACCCTCCGCAGGGGCGCCACGGGCCGAGCCCTCAAAGACCGCGAGCTGTGCAGCGGCCCCTCCAAGCTGTGCCAGGCCCTGGCCATCGACAAGAGCTTCGACCAGCGGGACCTGGCCACGGACAAAGCTGTGTGGTTGGAGCGCAGCCCCCCGGGGTCCGGTGAGCCACCCGTGGTGGCGGCAGCCCGAGTGGGCATTGGCCATGCGGGAGAGTGGGCCCAGAAGCCCCTGCGCTTTTATGTCCGGGGCAGCCCCTGGGTCAGCGTGGTAGACAGAGCAGCTGAGCAGAACGCACGGGCCTGAGCAAGGGTCCGCTCCAACAAGGCTTTTTAATTGTTTAAGAACCAAATAAACATTCTATGTCTAGAAAACAGTATTGCTTGTATCTCTGCCAGAGCCGCCCTCGTGGCCAACGTGCTTGTCATCCGTCCTCCCTCCAGGACAGGACTCGGAGGCCCTGGGTGTTCAGGAGGCTGGACGCACTGTTCCTCAGGCCTGTGTGAGGGAGGGTGGGGGGGCACCAGGGCAGAATCACCCCCCAAGACGTGGATCAGCCCAGGCCCTTGTGCGGCAGGTGTTAAAGAGGGGGCGGGTGACAGCCTGGTCATGAGCCTCCTGGAGGCGAACACAAAGGCTGTAGCGGGGACCGGGCCGGGCTCTCGTCCGCTCTTGGCCTCAGACACGTTTCTATGTATCGCCCAGGGTGGCTGTGGGGAAGGCAGCCATGGAGGGGGGCCAGGGAATGAGGCCAGGGTTGGGAGGACGGTCTGAGAGACGCACGGCCCGATTCTGTGTGTGGGGAGAACACAAGCCTGAGTCCTGGACACTCCCTGCGGCTGGGAGCTCAGACACGGAGGCTGTCTCAAGGGCCGGATGAGAACGAGAACATGGGGGGCAGCGGACTGCCTGTCCCCTCGGCCTTGGCCTGGCCTCAAGGGAGCAGTGCCTGGAAGACAGCGATGACCGGGTCCTCATGGGTGGTCACGACCAGCACACTGCGGAACTTGTCAAAGAGCATGAGCAGCTGGGAGCGCCGTGTGTTCTCATTGTACATGATCTCCTCCAGGTGGTGGCGGCCACGGAAGTAGTGCAGGAGCCTGGGGTGGGGGGGAGGGCAGCGTGAGCCCAGGCAGCCCCTGTCCTAACAGCCACGGTGGGGATCGGTGCTGAGCTGCCCACAGACCTAAGCAGAGCTGGCAGGGATCCCGGGGCCTCCACCCCCAACAGGGGCGGGTGAGTTCCCTGGACCCGCCGCCCACACGGTGCCCTGACGTGGGTCCACGAGGACACATGGCTGTTCACCCCCTGGAGCCACCTGAGCCTGAGGCTCACATCTGCCCTCGGCATGCTGACGTGGGTAGGGAAATGCAGGGGACAGTTCTGCCGGGGGCTTCCCTTCTTCATGCTGCTGTGGCAGCGAGTGCCATGCGGCATGGGCCCAGACGGGGTCACTGCTCTAGGGGCCATGTGTGGCTGGGGCTGGCACAGAGGAGGCCGGGACCCAGCTGCTTCCAAGAGTCACCTAGCGTGCGGTTCTTAACTGGGGGCCTGCTGCCGGTCAGCCTCACCCCACCCAAAAAACCCTCCATCTGCAGAGCCCCCAAGTCAAAGCTGGGTATGACAAAGTCTGTCACCAATGATGTAGGGGTCCTGGACACCACCGCCCCCAGCCCGGGCTCAGAGTTTTCCCAGCTGTGAGGATGAGAACCTGCCGCAGCTTCCGAAGAAGTACCAAGAGACACCCAGGAAGTCTTGGAGGGACCCCCACAGGCAGAGGCACCAGGCCTGGCATCTTGGTGACAGACGGTGCCGGCCACAGTGGGCACACACAGGCGCCAGGTGGGGACACCTCAGTGCTTGAGATGCCACAGCAACCAGCAACTGCCGTTGGGCATCAGTGGATTTCAGCTGGGTTGTGCCGGGTAAGTCCCCATCCACTTGCTGATCTGACCCTAGAACTGGCCCAGTGCTGCGGGTCCGCCTGCCCCCACCTGGCAAACATGCGGAGGTCCTCGGGGTTCTGGGCTGCAGGCACGCTGAGGATGGCCGCCCGCTCGTGCTCGGACAGGCTGGCCAGCAGGTTCTCCGTCATCCTCTTGTTGAGTGGTGAGTCCCCACTGGGGAGGAGCTCCGCGCTGGAGTTATCCATGCTGGGGCTAGTGAGGGTCATGTCGTCACTGCTGGCTGTGGGTGGGCATGGGTCAGGGAGCAGCCGGCCCCCCAAACATGGCCCTGGTGCACCCGCTGTGCCATCCGTGTCCACTGGGGATCCGCTGCCGCACCCTCTGGTAGCAGCCTCCACACCCCAAGGCAGGCCTGCTCGTCCCACCCGTCCGTCCCAAGATGGACAAGGGAGGGCCCTGAGCAAGGCCGGGTCCTTGCACTGAACTTGAAGATCAAGGTCAGGCCTCAGCCTAGGGAGCCTTCCAGCCCTTCGTCTCCCCCGAGCCTGGGAAGCCTGGGGGACCCGGGGCCTGGCAATGGGCTGTGTCCTTTGGGCGCATGCGGTGGCCACAGCGGCTCTTCTAAGAAGCGACTGTTGAGTCGGTGTCTCCTCACAGGCCCCGAAACAGCGGGCTCAACTATCCTCCCAGCGAGGCTGGGACATCTGCTCTGATCCCAGGCTGCTTGGGAGCCCAGAGCCACAGAGGTGCAGGAGGCGAGGGAGAGGGGTCTCCTGCCCTCCTTCAAGGGGCAAGCTGCTCAGCAGGGGACAGGGGCTGTCCGGGTGAGGGCCCAGGTGCCCACATACGGGGCGGGAGTGTGTGCACACGCACGGCCCTGTGAGGGCGCCTCAGTCAGCCGCAGCAGTGCCCATGTCGGGATCCTGGCTGCCACTCCCAAGTGCCTCCCAAATGCCACCCCCACCCACCAGCTGGATGCCCTGGGCAGGGGGCGCTTACTTGGGGAACCAAAGCTGAGCGCATTAGGTGTGCTGAGGCTGCGGCCGCTGACCCTGGCGGTGAGGGGGACATCGTCCTCTCGAGGGTGGGGCTCGTCCTCACTGGGCGAGGCCATCAGGCACACGTAAGTGTGCAGCTGGACAAGGAGTCTGTGCTGCAGCATCCACACCACCATCTGAATGAGCTGGGTCTGCAGGACAGGTGGCATGAGCCCCAGGGCAGCGGAGGAAGGCTGGTCCCCTGCCACTGCCTTGCTCCCCTCCAGGGAGGACCAAGGAGCCATGACCTAAGACACGATCCCCACGAGTCATCCCAGAGGCAAGGGGTCCATGAGCTCCAGGGGCCTGACCCCGGGGCACAAGGCTTCCCACCTCAGAAAAGGACCCCTCAGCTGCTGGCCAAGCCCAACTCCTTGCTCCAGGGAAGGCCACAGGAGCGCTCCCACCGCACACTTGGGCCGCCCCCGTGCCCGGCCTTTTGTGCCCAGAGCTGAGAAGCAGGGCCGAGTACATGGACCCCCACCACACAGAGCTGGGCCTGTGGGGACCTCCGCACCGTGGCCTGGACACTGTTCACAAAGAAGCTGCAGGCAGCTGTCCGGAGAGCAAAAGTCCTCTGCCTGGCTCAACCTGGAAGCCTGCCCAAGGACCACGAGCCCCGATGAGGTGTGTGGAGTCCACCCTTCTCTCATGGGGCTGGCCCCTGTGCAGGGCCAGTGAGGAGCCCTGAGCAGGCCCAGCTCGAGCATGGGTGAACAGGAAGGTCACACATCTGCCTGCTCGGCTTTGGGAGTCCCCCCTGGGAAGGGACGGCTGACCAGGCATGGAAACAGGGATGTACCACGTACCATGGGCAGGTCATGACCTGGTCAAACCAAATAAAATTGAAAAGGACTGTAAGATAGTTAGAATTAAGGAATAAAACAAAGGGGCTTCATAAGCACTCCAGAGCACATGCCAGGCCCTGAAGCAGGAAACGTGACAAGCAGGCGCCTCACCCCGCTCCATCTGAGCCCCTTGACCAAGCACAAGGCGGCCCCCAGGCATGGCCTGGAAAATCCACCCGCCATCCGGACCATTAGGAAGCTTCTGCTGGGGGAAGTGGGGGCACAGATGCAAAGTGTGGCTTTTATTCAGCTGGCAGGGCCTGGCACAGTTCCTGGAAACCAAAGGCCCCATGAAAGACAGCCTTTAGAACTCTGTCACACACAGCATCTGAATGAACTCAAGAACCAGGATCTCCTCCTCATTCACAACTTGAGACAAAGGGAAAGGGTTTGCTTTTAAGGACTGGTTTTGCCTAACAGATCTCACACTTACTTAAAATAAATACTTTCCTTCTGAAGACAAAGCCTTGAGAACACCCAGCCCCATCTCCCAACACCTGCCCCATCCTGGCTCTGTGGTCCCTGCCCAGAGTTCCAGAGCTCCAGGCCTTCAGCACAGGGGAGGGAGGAAGAGGCTCGTTCTGGGATCCAGCCTGCACCTGACCCAGAGCTCACCAGTTCATTCCATATGCTCATGCCTCCCTGGATGAGCCCTTGCCACACCCAGCAACCCCACCTGTCCCTCGCCTGGACCCAGGCCCACTGGGGCCTGTCCCAGGCCTGTCCTCTCCAGATCCTCTTGGATGAAGAGATTCTGGGGAATGGTGGGCCCAGGACTTAGACCCACATACCCTGTGGCCACCTGGACCATGAAGGGGGAGAGAGCAGGAAGCCAGGGCCTAAGTTCAGTGAAAACAAAGCTGACTCGGCAACCCCCCAGGAAAGGTTACCACTCTCCTGCCACCTGGGCCTCTTAACTCGGTTCTAACCTCGAGAACCACCCACGGCAGCCAGGCTGGGCTCCACCGGGGGGCTGGGGGGTGGGACTTGGGACTGCCCAAGTGTCTGCAGGTGGCCCGGCTGGGGAGCCAGCTATTGGTCACCCTGGCGTGACATGTACCACCGACACAGCCAAGCCCCCTCCTCCCCAAAACCCAGGCTAAGGGTACAGCAGCACTGCGGGCCTTGGGATAAGGAATGGACGCTGGGTGGGTGGTTCCCGGACTCCCTGGACTCCTGCAACTTACCTCCTGCACAGGGGGGGCGAGGGGGTTCCTGAATTCTGACAAGGAGACAGGCAAGGAGAACTTCGCAAGGACAGAGGGCAGGTCGTGAGCTGGAAACTGACGGGAGAACTGTTCGGCCAGCGGGGAGTACCTGGGAGAGGTGAGGCGAGCATGCCCATGGGCTCAGCAGGCCTCGCCGTTGATCCCTGACGTCTGTGCCCTCGCTGCAAGCCCAGGGCAGACAGCAGGGAGGCGCCGCATGGCAGGTGGCCCAGGATGGGTGCCATGAGGACAGAACCCAGGTGCCTTCCCGCGATGGACAGCAGGAGCCAGAGGCACAGGCCAAGGCCCCTCTGAGCCCCCGAGTCAAGATCAAGGCTCCCACCGCCTCCCCCAGGCACCCCATCCGGAGCCCACTGGCCGGACCCTGCATGGGGGCTCTGAATGCCGGAAGAGCACAGGCCCGGGGCAGGCCACGTGGCACAGGCCAGAATTAGAATGTGGACACAGCAGAGGCCAGCAAGCAAACCCAAGTGGGGAGCACCATCCTGGGCTCCGGCGACCAGAGATACTCACAGACACACGCTGGCATTGGGAGAAAGCATGTAGACGTTGTTCTCACACAGCGGGTAGATGATGATGGCCTTGCCCCAGTACACCAGGTGGGCCGCGAGCTGGAAAACCTGCAGGCAGTGGGAGCTGGGAGGATACTGCCCAACCCTCCGACCCCCTACCTGGGCGTTCGGCACAGCACACTCACAATAACCCTTATCACTGGTCCCTGGTGTGGTTTGGGACGGTCACTTCCCAGAGGACCGTGACCACAGGACCCTGTCCAGGCTGGCACTCAGGAAAGGGCTCATGAGCACGGGGACACGCGAGGCCTGGGACACCTCACCTCGGCAAACAGGACCACCAGCGCCAACACGGCAGAAACCTCAGCTCCTTCACCGCCGCTCTTCTCTCTCATCCCAAGTCTTACTGACACTCCAAAGCAAGGATATTGTCCGCTTTCCTCCAGCTGCCATCGCCCTCACCTGTGCTGTCCACCTCCCACCGCCCCCTGCAACCAGAGCACCATCCTGGAGACCAGAGGTCTGAACCCATAGCTCAGGCTGGACTCCAGCTCTCAGCAGGGACACGCTCTCCAGAGATTCTGGGGGAAAAGCTGCCCTATCTCCTCAAGCGGCAGTGTTCCTTGGCGCGTGGCCACATCCCTCCGATCTCTGCCTCCGCGGTCATACCCCCTGCCCATCTCGCACAAGGGCCCTGTGGTGACACTGGGCCGACCCAGACAATCCAGGGTCACTGCCCACCTCAAGGTCCTTCATCGCATCTGCAAAGTCCCACATAAGGTTGCATTCACAGGACCTAGAGAGTAGGATGTGAAGGTCTGTGGGGAGCCAATCACAAGGAATGGGCAGTGTGACCCTAATTTTCTGATTCAAAGATAATGTGTTAATAATTGATTCATATAAAAAGTCTGAAGGAATCTACAGTGGTTACCTCTGCGATACAGGATTGCAGGCATTCTCTGTGCCTGTAACTTGTGTAATATTTGAACATACTGACTCTATCACGACAAAAAAGCCCAAAATAGGGGAGATGGATGGGAGGATGGGTGAAACAGGTGAAGGGGTTAAGAGCACACTTATCTTGGGGATGAAGCACTAACGTACGGAACTGCTGACTCACTGTATTGCACACCTGAAACTAACATAACACTGTATACTAATTATGCTAGAATTAAAAGCCCAAAATACTGACTTTGCCTGTGATGGAACAGGAATTTTTTAAGATTTTACTTTTTCTTAAGCAATCTCTATGCCCAACATGGGGCTCAAACTCACGACCCCAAGATCAAGAGTCACAGGCTCCAATGACTGAGCCAGCCGGGCACCCTGAGAACATAAGTCGCTTTAAATCATCTGAAGATGCTCACACCTGAAGCTGACACTCTCTCCCTAGGGCAGCCACCCATTCTTGGGGCTCCAACCAGGCTCGGCCAGCTCTGCCATCCTCGGGCCCCACGGGGCCACCTGCCACAGGTAATAGCAGCTGCAGGGGCCGGGAAGGCCGACCACACCAGCAGGAAACGCTGATTAGAGGAGCGTTCAGTAGGGAGGATTACGGAAGGGAAAAACGGTCTCCCCATGGCAAGGCTAGGGCAGGGAAGTGAAGGGGACATCACCAGAGCTTTGCCTTTGTCCAGAGAGACCGAGAAACTCGAAAGCTTAGCCCGTATGGGACAGAACACAAGCTCTGCAGTGTGTACGAAACAGCCAGCACATTTAAGGTTCTGTCTTGCGGATGATGCTACGAAGGGGAGCAGGATGTGGTGCTCAGCTCCTCCAGTCCAGGAGCCCGTATTACAATGCACGAGGGCAGAATCCGACAGTCTCAGGGGATGGACAAAGGTCATAGGGTACAAACAAGGGAACGACTCATTCTGGATGGCAGACTCAGAAACCGCTGCTTTGGGAAACACAGGCCTGAGAGTTAGGCTCCCCCAACGGCTAAGGACCAAAGGCCAAAGGCGTGCCTGGGGGCGGGGAGGAGGGCAGGCCTGCCTCAAGCCCCCCTCACGCCTGGGCTCCTCTTCCTCAGAGCCACGGCTCCTGGGACAGGTCCTGCTGCCCCCTGGTGGCCACACCACGCCCACCACGACCAGACCGCGGTCCTGCCCTCCGCTGTCACTTGGGAGGCACAACTGCCCTGGGACCCTCAACCTCTTCCTGTGCTGCTTCTCACTCCCTGGCCCCCACCCAGGCTCCAACCAGATCACAGCCAGGACTGAGGGCATCTGGCTCTTGTTTTCGGCTCAGGTCATGATCTCAGGGTCATGAGATCACATGAGGTCGATCCCTGGGTTGGGCTCCCTGCTCGGCAGGGGGTCTGCGAGGGATTCTCTCCCTCTCCCCCTGCCTCTCCCCCAGCTCTCATGTGAACAAGCGCACTCTCTCTCAAATACGTAAATAAATCTTAAGAAAGAAAACATGCAGCCCACAAGCACATGGCTCAGCAAGAGGGTGGGATCTCCTACAGAACACAGGCCTGAATGCACACAAAAGGGGGGTGGTCAAGGCCAGCAGGTTAGGCCCTGGTTCTGCACACAGGTGGGCCCTCAGCTCCCACACTGGCAAAGTAGAGATGTGGTACTTTCTCACATGGTGACACCCTGCGGGCCCCTGCTTCAACCCTGCAAGCCCCCAGCCCTGGCACCCCATTCTCCACAGCCAGACACCCAGCAACTGGAGAGCCTCATGCCTCACGACTCCTGGACAGAGGACAACGTCAGTCCCCCACAGCCAGTTGACAAAGCGAGCCCCGAAGCCAAGTCTGACTCATTCCAGAACTTGGAGCCAACCCAGGAACGACCCACCCCACCACGGAAGGCCACGCAGTGGCGCTCAGCTGGACAGAGGTCCTGGGGACATGGCACACAAGCAGCCTGCTTTCCTGAGGCCCTGACCTCCCACCTCCACCCAAGGACCACCTGCTTTGAGGTGCCCTCCCATTCTCCCCCACTGCGGTGTGTCCCCAGGCCTCCAGGCTGATACCTGCAGCAAGGCCAGGTCTGCATCCTGGGCCAGCTGCTGCAGGTTCTTGACGGCGGATGTGGTCTTGATGACGCGCACCAGGGCCGGGGAGCAGTCGAGCGGGAGCTCGCCCAGCAGGGACTTCTCATCACTGAGCAGCAGTAGAGCGTGGTACGGGCTGCAGAGCAGAGTCAGGGGTCAGCGGGACACACGAGCCCAGGCCCCCTGACCAGGCACGCTGCTGGGGCACACGCACTGAACCCGAGGGAAGAGGCCACTGCAAGGGTTACACAGAAGGAGCAGTGCGTCCAGGGGCCTCTAAGAAGCCACAAGGGTCACTACAGCCCTCAGAAAAAACAAAGTGGAACAAAACTGAAGAAGGCCCGACGACCCAATTCCATCTCCCACCTCCGGGACTGCCCAGTGAACATCTGTTGACCGAAAAAATACATGAATCTTTTCCAAGCAGAGTCCCAAATATGGAAAAGCAAAATCCCCACCACAGGCTATGAATAGAACTACATAAAATTATACTTCAGCAAGGAAGTCCAGGAGGAAGGACACGGACTCAGAGCACAGACTGGGCAAGGGAGAGACGGCTAGGTAGTGCCTTGCTTTTTTTCATCTCCAAATTTTCTGTAATGTGCCCAGATTTCTTTTTTCAGTTATAAAAATATCTAAGGAAATGGGACTTTAATGGGGGTGGGGGGGTTGCAAAAACTGAGCTTAGCTCTTTCCTTGCAGGAAACCAGTTAAATTAAGAAACTGAGTTCCCACAAGTTCTGATTCAAATGCAGGAGGTCCGGTGAGCAGCCCTGGGAGGACGGAACTCCCCCACAGTCCGGCGTCTTGCCAGGGAGCTCAGCCCCTACAGCCCTGCCCAGGCCTGAGGCGAAGACCCCCAAACACAGAGCCTATCGCCCTCACGGTGCCAAGAGGGCCCAGAGGAAACTTGCGGTTGGTCATTTCTGGACAAAAACCAGACCCCAAAATACACGTTTTTACTTCTATCAGCAGTAGAGCCTTACCTGCCAATTCCTGCGGCAGGAAGAAGAAAGGATAACTCTCCCCAGGCAGAAGTTGGGCAGTATGTGGGCTGGCACTCACCGGATGGCTTTCAGGCTCCGCTCGATGGCCTCGGGTGGAATGAGGCTGGCAGCGGCGTAGTGGATCTTATGGGGCAGGCAGAAGCTCACCTCCAGCCAGCTGTTGATGTGGAGCTGCACCACGCCCGAAGTACACAGGCTGCAGAGAGCAGGCCCCGCTGCTGTCAGGTGCCATCGCGAACCCACACACACCACAAAACCCCATGAAGCCCTCGGGCAAGAAAGCACCTTTCCAGATCTCAGGGTGCTTAAGAGAAGAACACACACAAATCTATCTCTGGGTCGCCCTGGAATCTGCAGTCTGACCAGAGTGCCAGGACTTGAGGGAAGCCCCTTCCGTGTCTGCCCCAGAGGCTCAACGTTGCGGGGCTAAGGCCTCCTCGGCACAGGGTGAGGGCTAAGGCCTCCTCGGCACAGGGTGAGGCCAGGCCCCTCGCACACCCCATGAAGGCCCCATCACAGGTGGGCAGCTAGGCAGGGCAGGGCCTGTCTCCAAAAGAGAGGTGGGCAGGACGGGAAAGGTGTGGGCAGGGGCTGCCAAGCCCCCCAAAACGTCCCATCAGGGAGAAGCACAAGGCACCCTCCTCCCTACAGATGCCAAGCTGCACCAAAGCAACTGTCCAAGCCAGCCTCAGCTGCAAACCTCTTGCTCCCCACCTCCTCGGTGACGGCAGTTTGGTTCTTTCAGGGCCAAACACTGCTCAGGCCACATACGGCCACCTTGTCCCTGAATCCTTGTTTCTCCCACATCCCACCTTGACCATCTGCAAATCCTGTCTGCTCTCCCTACAGACCTGCGCAGCACCAGCCCCCCTGGACAGCCCGCCCTCCCCGCTCAGACCCCCACGGTTCCCACCTCGGCAGCCCCAGCGAAGGCCCCCAAATGCCAGGAGCCCCACATGACCTGCCCACTTTTCTCGGACCTTCTCTCCTAGCCCAGGCTGCCTGGGTCCACCTGTACTGACCACTCTGCTCTTCTCGGCCTCTAGTGCTCCCTCCAGGTGCCCTGGGTTCCTTCCCCGTTCCAGGTCTCAATTCAAGCCCCACCTTCTCGGTGAGGTGAGCCCCGGCCCAGCCCCAGCCCCAGCCCCCCAGGCAATCACTGCTGTGTGGTCATGCGTGTCTGGAGCACCTGACCACAGGATGCACCTAAACTTGTCTGCTGCTGGATGCAGTTTCCCCGACAGAATTCAGTCACCAGCTCTGGTCTCAGGTTTCACTAACTGCTCCCCGCACAGCTGGTCAAGTGTCGGGTGCTTGGGGGCACTGAGAACCATCTCATGAATAGAGGAAGGAAAGGGGTCCGAGGAACACGCTGCCAACTCTGGGTGGACAATCTCCCGGGAAGCCCCTGCTCAGAGAACAGGTTGCTGGTGGCTCCTCAGCAGGCATATGGCCCCGTATGCCCTGCACCACAGAACCACACACAGAGCTGTTTCCAGCAGGTGCTTCTGGAACCCTCCAATGAGAAGCCAGCCTGACAGCACCCAAAGCCTGGTGCACAGCTCCTGTACCAAGTGCCAACAGCACTCGGTGTCTGACACGGAGAAGTGGCACTTGGGCAAAGCCCCCCTGGCTGGTCCTCACCACACCCCTGGCAGGTGGACAAGAGGGGGATGTGTGCCCACTGTCGAGGCCTGCCCTGGCCTGGCCCAGTTCTTTCCATTACATTCCAACCCCACTCTGCAATTCCCAAGTGGCCAGAGAGGCCAAGACGCCCACATCCGGCCAAGTGTGGGGCGGGCCATGGCTCAGACCTCCCTCGGGGGCACACAAATGCACGGTGCTGGCAGGCGGCCCTAAGGCCCTCACTGCCCACGCCCACAGGCTGTTCTTACCATCTCTTCCCCGAAGCCTCAGGCAGCAGACCAACTACCACAGGTTTCTCCACGGGGCCACCCAAAGAGCCGGCAGAATCTGTGGTCAGCTGTTTTCTCAAGCAGGGAATGTGTAATGAGAAAAAATGGGGAAGAACACAGAGCACATCTGTGACCTCCAGGACCCCCTAGGATTCCTGCCAACACCACTATGTGCTCATTGCCCCGTGCCGCACTCCCAGGACACCTGCACCACTGAATAGCCCCCGGAGGGAAGGTCAGAGCACCCGCTGCTGGGAGGGTGGGGGCTGCAGGCTGTGGCTGAGTCTGGAAGGCAAAAGTTTGGTCACTGCTGAGCCACAGTCCCTTAGGGTGAAACGCATAAGTGGGTCTAATGAGAGTCACAATCTAGAGAAGAGATCTGGGATCCTTCCGCAAGGTCCCAGAAGAACAGAGTGCTAGTGAGCGCCTGGGTGGCTCAGTTGGTTAGGCGACTGCCTTCGGCTCAGGTCATGATGCTGGAGTCCCAGGATCGAGTCCCGCATCGGGCTCCCTGCTCAGCGGGGAGTCTGTTTCTCCCTCTGACCCTCCCCCCTCTCATGCTCTCTCTCTCTCCCTCTCTCATTCTCTCAAATAAATAAATAAAATCTTTTAAAAAAATTAAATTAAAGGGGCGCCTGGGTGGCTCAGTCATTAAGCGTCTGCCTTCGGCTCAGGTCATGGTCCCAGGGTCCTGGGATCAAGCCCCGCATCGGGCTCCCTGCTCGGCGGCGGGAAGCCTGCTTCTCCCTCTCCCATTTCCCCTGCTCTTTCGCTGTGTCTCTGTCAAATAAATAAATCTTTTTAAAAAAAATTAAAAAAAAAGAACGAAGTGCTAAATAAGTAAATATGAGCAGATGGAAGTTCCCAGAACCTCACCAAACTTTGGGCAAGGGTCTTTGCAGGTGGACAGCTCCCATCAAACCCTGAGAAACAACCTCTTACAAAATCCAAGGTCACACCATGAGAGGGCTGCCCAGTGGATGAGAGTCTCAGCATCCATGTACAAAAGGACGAGAAGAGTGAGAAAGAGCAGGGCTGCAGGGAGAGCGAACTTGATAAAGCTAACATGGGCAGGCTTCCTCCCTCCTCTGTTTCACTATATACCTGGACAGAAAGGCTGGTGGACTGAAAGAAAGGTCTGCTTCTGAGCTGTCATCCTTAGGATATGGCTCAGGGTAGCAGATGGAACACCAGAGAATCAGAATTAAACACGGAGCCTCCTATGACCTCACACGCAGCTCATTCCCCCCCGCCCAGGAGCTGGGCAATGCCACGAGCATGCACACACTGGCGTGGGGTCTTCTCCCGAACGCTCCCATGTCGGTTCCCTGGTGTTTGTGTGGATTTCCACTTTTCCAGACATCTGTCCACCCATGGAGTACTTCACACTGAGATGCAGCGTGGAGCCTGCGTGGAACACGCCCACCCACATGGAGCCCCGGGAAGCCCACAGTATTCCTGCAGCAAGAGGTGAGCCAGGAGCCGCAATGAAGTCTGCTCAGAGGAGGGGAAAAAAGCCTCCTCTCTGTTTTTGAAGCACAGTTTGTTTTTTTCTAACACCTCCAGGGTGGAGGCGGCCCACCCTCCGAAAACCTCTCTGAGGCTACGACTCATGTATGTATTTATTATTATTGCAGAATAGTTGACATACAGCTTGTACCAGGTTCGGTGTTCGACAGTTCTTTACAGTACTCAGTGCTCACCCCCATAAGCGTAGTCACCGTCTGTCACCAAATAACATTACTGCAGTATTACTGAGTACATTCCCTATGCCACACAAAGTGCACTTTTAAGACCAGACTCTCCAGGGTTCCTGCTATGTCTGCACTTCTGCTGGCAAGGCAGTCATGTCTGGTCTGGAAACACTACGAAAGGTGCTGCCCCACGTGAGGCTTATCCAGCCTGCCACACAGCTCGGGGCCACACAGCGTCGCCCAGCCCCATCTGCCACGCGAGATAGATGCTCCAAGTCCTAAGCCGATGACTGTGCATGAGGCAACACACTGGCCTTCAAGACATGCCCTTATCGTTCCCACCCCAGATGGAAGGCAGTGTGTACCAGCTTACTCCGTTACCCTCCCATCTCACCACGTGAGAAAGAACTTCAGCTCCTAACGCATCAGCTAAGAGCTGAAACCCCCTTCTTTGGTCTCCCGGCCAGCCCAGCACCCCCCGATCACTCTGGTCCTGCACACAGACAGGCTCCCTACTACATGGCGTGGGACACTGTACACAATTCAAGAGGGCCGAGTGGGCTCCAAAAGGCCCACCTTGAAATTTCGCACAAAAGGTGTATAGAAGTGCATTTTATGGAAAAAGGGACTAAAACTCCCAGCATATTAGCGGAGGTGTCTGTGGCCGCATCTCTGCTCTGAGCAGACAGCACTGGGAGGCAGCGGTGAATAAGCACAGAGTTCCCAATGCCACCCGCCCGGCCAGGCCCTGGGCAGCTCCCCCGAGCTCTGAGCCTCCTGGCCCCACCACAGGCCCCATTACCTCTGAAAACCATTCAACAAACACTTTGTCAAGCCATGGACTCCACAACATGACTGCTGTCTACTCGTTCCTTCAAGCACCAGTGGGCAGCCACAAGGTCTGTATTACAGAAAGTGAAGGGACATTCCCCGACTTCACGGGAGACCCAACCTGACCGTCACACAAATGCGTGGGGCACGGTCACTGAGGTCACCGGGCCCAGAGGGAGACACAGAAGCTGCAACAGTCAGGGTAGGCTCCAAGGGAGTCATGCTACCAGCCTATGCTCACAGACACTTAGGTCCTGGGGCACGAGGCCACACCACAACCCTGAATTTTAATTAAAACAGCAAATCCAGAACAACTCCTTTGAGAAGTCTCACCCCGATCTCCAACCTCCACGGTGTCTCACGTCTGCTCAGAGAAAACCTTTCCCAGGATCTGCCGGAAAGCTGCCAAAGGGAGAAGGCGGCTCTGTGCTACTGGATCAGTCATGTAAACCCACGTCTCCCTTTCTCAGTTCCAAGGTAAGTCCACCCTGCAGCAGCAAAGGGAAGGCCACAGCCCAGGGGGGCTCCTAGGCAGTCACGGAGCCCCTACTATTGGCAGGCTGGGACAGGGTGCAAGGGAGGACCCCACTGTCCCTGGGACTCCCACCAGAGTAGCACTGCTGCTGGCTTGCGGGAGCTGGGCCCCGGGACCCACGACTGGGCAGGGTGGGGTCTGGGAACAGGAAAGGGTGGGTGGGTGGGGGTTCACCTGGAGGAAACGGGATCCTGAACACTAATACACCAGGGTGCTTGGGCTAGAGGAAGGAGGCAAGTGCTGAACAGTGAACCCTGGGAGCCGTTTCTTCCCCCCGACTCTGATTCCTGGCCTCCTTTAAACAATGCCCACTGGGGGGCGCTGCGCCGCCTCAAGTTCTCAGCTGCAGCAGGTGGGCCAACCACCCAGCCCTTCGCTGCCTCCAACTTGCAGTTCAAACCTAAGAAAGCACAGTCCATTCTTTCTTTAGACATAGCAAGTCTGGTTCTGGTTTGGTGTTTATCTCGGGGTTAGCCTGAACTTTGCTTGTGGCCTGACCGTAGCTGAGGCAGGCAGAGTACCATTCAGAGCAAGGGAACATGCTCCAAGGAAGCAATTCCCAACCCAGCCAACCCAAGACCAAAGGGCAGCACTTCTCTGACTGCAGAGACTTCGACATGGTCATGAGCGATGTCACGGGAGAAAGCGGGGGGGCAGGGACTACAGGACGACAGTCCCCGTGCCCTAACAGCCAGCAGTCACTGGGGTCAGGACGAAGCAAGCCCTGCTCTGCCTCCTGTGTGACGGACGGGGGTCTGAGGACAGCTCGGATAGGACAGGGGGACGCGCACGGCGGCATCCGGACACAGCTGTGGACACAGCACAGCTGAGGTCCACAGCTCACCAAGACCCTGGGCCGGCACAGCCAGAGGAAGAGGGATCTCCTGGGGCTAGTGGGGGTGCAGCGTGTGGCAAAGCCCCACGGGGACGTGCGCCCTATCACAAGGACTTTACCTCCTCGGCCTGGCAATTCTGCTGTCGGGAATTCATCGGATGGATAAACAGATACACGTGCGCAACCCCACGTGCGCATGGCTGAGCATCAGGCCTTGCAGCACCAGAGGCTGAGGCTAACAAAATGCCCAGGACAGGGGCTGGCTAACTGGGCAGCCGCAGAAGAAGTCCTTATTTCCCAGTAGAGACAGGGTCTAGGCTACACGGCTAAACTGAGAAGGCAGGGGTCGTCAGCAGGTGCAATGTAAAGGGACAAAGGGGGTCAGCGTCCACCTGTGTGTACCTCCAGCCCAGCGGTGCAGGATGGCACATGCCACATGCCGGCCTGCTGACATGCTTCTGCCACCGGGACGGGGGCCTGGTGGTACAGCAGGAAATGCACGCAACACTGATTTTCAGGCTGGATGGATACATGATCTTTTCAAAAGCTTCAGTGAAAACAGCAAAAAGAACGGGGCGCCTGGGCACCTGGGTGGCTCAGTTGGTTAAGCGACTGCCTTCGGCTCGGGTCATGGTCCTGGAGTCCCGGGATCGAGTCCCGCATCGGGCTCCCTGCTCAGCGGGGAGTCTGCTTCTCCCTCTGACCCTCCTCCCTCTCGTGCTCTCTATCTCTCATTCTCTCTCTCTCAAATAAATAAATAAAATCTTAAAAAAAAAAAAAAAAGAACAGGGCGCCTGGGTGGCTCAGCTGTGAAGTGTCTGCCTTCGGCTCAGGTCATGATCCTGGAGTCCAAGGATCGAGCCCCACATCGCGCTCCCTGTTTAGCGGGGAGTCTGCTTCTCCCTCCCCCTCTGCCCCTCACCCTGCTCTAGCATGCTCTTTCTCAAATAAATAAATAAAATCTTTTTTAAAAATTAATTAATTAGGGGCGCCTGGGTTGCTCAGTCGTTGAGCATCTGCCTTTCAGCTCAGGTCATGATCCCAGGATCCTGGGATCGAGCCCCGCATCTGGCTCCCAGCTCGGCGGGAGGCCTGCTTCTCCCTCTCCCACTCCCCCTGCTTGTGTTCCCTCTCTCGCTGTGTCTCTGTCAAACAAATAAATAAAATCTTTAAAAAAAAATTTAATTGATTAATTAAAAAACAGCAAAAAGAATGAAAAATTTCCAAAAGGCTCATAACAATTATCACTGGGTATGGGATCACAGATGGGCTGTTTTCTCTATACTCTTCTACATTTCCTAAATATCAATAATGACCATGTATTGTTGGTGAGATCAGGAAAACTGCTAATACCAAAAAAGGATGCTAGACCAGCCACCCTCTCTGGGCTTGGACGACACGTGGTCTCGCCAGCCACATCTCAGACCCAGCCCACCTCCCACAGGTAGCATGGAGTCTGCCGATGGAGTGAAGCACTGGGAAGGCCCGGGGCTGCGTGCACGGCCAAGGCCCAGAGAAGGGGCCTGCACCTTAGTGCAGACTGTGCAGCAATATGTCTGGTGCTCTGAGTGGTGGCCCCTTGAGAACCAACGGTCCTGGAGCAGAAGGGCACAGCTTGCAGGGGAAGTGTCACCTGGGCACCCGCCCGAGCCCCCTCCACCACCTCCCACCCACCCTGCAGACCCAGGCTCAGGGAGCAGTGGACCCTCTTTAAAAGAAAAGAAGTTCTCTGCTTCTCCCCAGAAAGCTGGGAACCCCAATATGACTGGAATGACTGAGAGGCTCTGCTGGGTCTGCAATGCAGGCTGCCTTCCTAACTCAGCCCCCAAACCCCAAGTCCCACGAGCGGAGGGCACCCTCTGAGCCTCAGTTTCCTCCTCAGTGAAGTGACAACAGTGACACCCATCTTAGGAGGCAGACCCGGAACTTGCACCGTGTCATCTGACCTGTTATCTCACGACTCACGAGAATTTCAGGCTCTCACGTGTGACTTCAGGGTCGGTTCCGGGGGCTGGCCCTCCCAGTCCTCTCTCACCTCCACCTCAGCGGAACAACGCAGCAAGGCCCACGGGCAGGGGCGCCACCTGTCTTACCTGTCATAAGCTTCCTTGAGGTCCCTGGCCAGCTTGCACTTGGGCAGAATGTGATGAAATGGGGACTGAGGACCATCATTTGCTGCAAGAGTCAGAACACAGAGAATTCAGAGCCTCCAAAGCAAGGAAATATGCAAAGGCTAGAATGGAAAATACCTTTAAAAACAAGGTTAACTGGGGCACCTGGGTGGCTCAGTCAGTTGAAAGTCTGACTCTTGGTTTTGACTCAGATCATGATCTCAGGGTGTCATGAGACGGAGCCCCGCACTGAGCTCCTCACTCAGCAGGGGAGCCTGCTCAAGATTCTTTCTCCCCCTCTGCCCCTCCCCACCCCCACACTCACGTGCTCTCTCTAAAATAAATAAATCTTAAAACAAAGAAAGTTTACGTGAAAATAATCTGTGCAACCAGTTGAATTAAGATGAGACTTTGGCTGATGTGTTCAACTGTCTTTATACGGGAGATCTGTATGGAAACCACCACTGGTGCCCCTGCCCCTGCAGCCAGTTCACCGGTGGCCCCAGAGCACAGACCCCCAGAGACACTTTCCGCCTGGTAAGCAGGTGCTTCCATGCCTCATCCCTCTCGCTCATACCAATACTATTTTTATGATCAAAAGTCTTTCATTAATCCTTTCTCATTAATGCCTTAAAATATGTAGTTAAATTGAATTTGTAAAAAAAATTTCCCGTGATAGGGGCACCCGGGTGGCTCAGTTGGTGAAGCATCTGCCTTAAGCTCGGGTCATGATCCCAGGGTCCTGGGTTTGAGTCCCTCTGCTGCTCCCCCTGCTTGCGCACTCTCCCTCTCTCAAATAAATGAAATCTTAAAAAAAAAAATTTTTCTGTGATAAAGTCACAGACTCTAAGAGAATTTCTTTTAAACAGCTTCTGGATTGTTATTAATACATAACTGGCCAAAACATTATATATTTTGACAGCTGTCAAATATAAAAAGCAACTTTTCACTGAAAATGCACCTGAGGGGGACAATACTCATATGCCAATCACTACTTTCACTTATTGCTAGAGTTACACTGGGGTCACCTTCAAACCTGTTTCTGGTTTTCTCTTATTTCAGAGGCGCTGACCTGAGATGGAGATGGAGTGTGTTGCAAGTAGGCGTTTCTCTGTGCTTAGAGGTGTTATGGAATGCCAAAATCCACAGAGGGATCTACTGGCAAATAATACCTTTAATAATCGGCCCGTTGGTAACTCAGTTAGGTCTTCCTTCACTTCACTCGGAAGCGAGGGACTGGGAAGGGCCCACCTTGCCAGCCCCGCTCCCAGCGGCCCCTGCGCATGTCCTCACGCCACAGGCCGTGGGGCAGTGCCGCTGGGAGGCGGGGCGCCATTTGGGCTGCAAGATCCATCTCCAGCATCAGTTCAGAGCTGCCCTCCAGCTGTGTCCCTTGGGGCGTCCTCCCTTCGCAGGGAAGATCACCAGACCAGCACATACGCCCTTGGTGCCTGTCTCTGCATCTGCAAACCTGGACCGGGGCCCCTGCCACGTGTGTGAAGCAGAGAGACTCCCGCGGCGCTCACCGTCAGCCACCGCGGACACCTCGTCCTGCAGCGCCAGGATCAGCTTGGCCTCTCTCGTAAGGTACTGGCATCGGCGCTCCTCATGCTGCAGCACAGTGGCGATGCGTCGGGAAAGGGTGTGCAGACAGTTTATCACCGATGGGTCCGCATTGGCCTGTGGGAGAGGCCACGTGGGACTTAGATGGCACCCAGGCATGGCCGACCCACAGCACGAGGAACCCTCTGTCCTCCTTTCCTGCACAGCCCCTTCCAGGTGCTGCCGTGGTCCCCGGCCCTGTGTCCCCTCCAAGGTCCGTCCACACAAACACCAGTGTGCTCAGCATCCCAGCTCGGGAATGGTTGTCTGCAGGGTAACACTGAGGTGGTTCTGTGGGGCCCCCCAGCCGGTAGGGGGACACAGGCATTTCCAACAAGCAGAGGTGCTGCAGGGCACCACACCAGGGCCATCCAGGACGGCGGGGTACAGAGCCAGCCTCCACTCCTGGCCAGGCAGGGGCAGTGCTCAGGGGCGGCGGGGCAGCCGACCCACCCGCCGTGTGACCCCAGGCTCCCATCTGAGAACGTTCAACAGTGGCCCTCCCTCACCGGTCAGTCTGACAGAGCCTATCCAGGGCACAAGCCCAGCAGTGTTTGCGGTCACCATGTACGGCTGACTTGGTGGGCAGGACCAGGCTTTGTGAGAATTCAACCACACAGACCCACTACACCAGGGTCACGGAGCCGAGTAAGCACAAGCCCCAGGCTGACTGACTGCTGAGCACACTGTCCTCAGGAGAAGAGGCTCTTCCCAGCAGAAACAAGCCTGACTAACAGAAGTCAGCAGGCTCCAGGCTACCCCTTTCCCCACAAGCTCCCCGGGCACCCCTGTGCTAACTCTGGAACCTATCAGACGCCGCAGCGAGGCCAGGCAGGCACACCCACCCAGGCCAGGGGTGGGGCAGGCAGCTGAAGGGTCTCTGAAGATGCTCCACAGAGCAGATAACCGGCCAACCATGACTCAGTGTTTCAGGAGGCCACCAGGGCTGCTGAGTCATCCGAGGGGTGGAGGTGGGAGAAGGGAGGACGCATGGTACCGCTGATTAAAACCCCTAGTACTGCCTCCCCTCCCATTTATCTGGCAGGCAGGGCCCTACCAGCAAGGTGTCCACAGCCAGCCTTCTGGACCAAAACCCACACCAGACTCAGTGAACACCTTCATCACCTGGAGTTGGAGAGATTTTCTGAACTCCTAGCAGATCTCATGTTCACAAACAGAATCCACACCTGACAACAGCATACCTGCACTGGGGAGAGGACTAAACACTACTTTCAGGCCAAGCCCATCACCGGGCAGCAACGCTGCCCCTTCATGTCAAGGACAGCCCCTCAACAATGTCTCCCACAAGATTGTGGAACTAGAGGGCCTAGGTTATAAAGCATGTGCAACTGCTTTACAACAAAATACACTTCTAGAAGACTCTGTATCAAAATACTCTCAGCAGCAAAACAGGAAGGAGAATGATCCTATGCACATGGTGATTCCCTTCAAGAAGCAATCAAGTCACACCTGAGAGCCTAACCCTATGCTCATGGTCCCAGTGGCTGGGACAGGACGGTGTTTTTAGTCAGATGCCCGAGCCCACCAGTTGTACATTCCCAGACATGCAAGGGGGTGCTCACCCAGGCGAGGCCCGATGACCCGCACTGATGGGGTATGCTGGGGTATCCTGTGTGGCTTCACAGGCCAGGCATCACTCAAGGTGCCTGCAGAGCCCAAGGCTTTGTCTGGCCACAGTGAGAAAGGGACCACCTAGGACGTGCCGGACCTGAGTGGGAACTCTTAGAAACACCACATTTGCCCCAACGGTGATGTGAAACAGCAGGAAATTTAGGGGATTACCTGTGAGACTTTCTCGCTCCCAGAAAGTGCACTGAAATGTAGTAAGGCCTTCAGAGCAAATGTCCAATTTGCAGGCAATACACAAACAGAGAGTAAGCACGATCAGATGAATCCAGACATGGACCATTCAATGGGACGAAGGGAGAAGAAAGTCCTAGACTGAAAGAGACCTGCAGACACAGCCCACACACCTGTGAGGGCGAGGTTTTCATCCTGGTCCAGACAGGACAACGGCAAAAACTATGGCCACTAGGCACTAGCTGATACCAAATTACGGCAAACTTTATCAGGTGTGAAAGGGTATCACGGTATAACATAAATGTTCCTATTTCATAGAGATGCCACCTGAAGTACATAGAAATGAGCAGACATGAGGTCTGGGACTTGACCTGAAACACCTGAGAAGCCAGGGTGGCCTGGTGACGGCAAGGGGACATCAGAGACGGGTGTATGAGGTTAATCAAACTATTGTCACTAGTTGGGGATTTGTTTAAACCTCTTCAATGTGAAAAGAAAAAACAGTATGTTTTTATGTGACTATTAAAAAGGAGAAAATAACTTTCTACCCTAAAAATATCAGCACTTTACATTATTTAAAATTCCCACCCCCCCTTCAACATCATGGCCCCTGCTACTTGAAGTCCTGCGCTACCTCGTTTCCTACCGCAGCAATCCACCCGTCCTCCCCAGGTTCTGGCCTCGCCCCAAGCCTCACCTTCAACAGCCACAGGCTGGGCCACATAGCAACTACCGCCCTGTCTCATCAGCCCCCAGCTGCCGGACACCGGCACTGTTTCCAGCCTGGTTATTATCATAAAGGTCTCCCTACAACCTCAAAATCCGCTTGTTTTCTTGACGGCTGTATCCAGGGGTGTCAGACGTGCTGCTGTCACACGCTGTTCCCCAGAGACCAGGGCCTGCCTGCAGGATGGGGCCGCGGCTGCTTCTCACCGCCCACCCACAGGGACAGCCTTAGCCAGCATTGTGGGGGCTGTTTCTTACTTAATGGACTGCTCTCTCGGGTGTCTGCAGTATGTCATTTTAGAAGTCATGCCCCATACTATTTACACTATGAACATCCCAAGACTGTAAAAGTCAAGGTCTCCACTTGGAACCGGACACCCCAGGGACAGCCACTGTTAACCCATCACTTTGTTAACATGGCTCCTTATTTATCAGCAAGGTAGGCCAGTTTTAAAAATTAGCTCCATTCCAAAGAACCTTTTCTCTGGCATCATTTTGGTTTTGAGCTGTTCACAGTGAATGTGGTCTTCTCTCAAGAGAAAAGCACCTCGAGACTTAGAATGACACACAATTTTACCGGTGTCCTCTGCTTAGTGTCATTTCGGCCACTCTGAAGGCTTTCAGAGCACACAATGCTGCCCGTCACGGAGACCAGTCACTCTGAAATGCTTCTGTGAAAAGCCATCATGCAGATCACATGTGCCCAGCCAGAAAGAACTACTGAGTATTTTGGCACAAACAGGTAGTGGAAGAGTTCAGAGGAATTCCGTTATGTAAAGTCACCAAATATAAATTTCCTAGGCAATTCAAAGTCCTTTCATAATATGGTGAGTCTTTACCCAGGGATGCTTTTTATGCTTACTTAGATCCCTTATATTTTGACAGCTTCATTGAAAAGAAATCTCCTCCACCACAACTTCAGACAGTCTGGGAACTGCCCTAAGAAACTATCAGCTTAATCATTAAAAACAAAATGGAAAGCAACAAGTGCTGGTGAGGAGGTAGGTACGCTGGAACGCTCACACTGCTGGTGGGGAGGAAAGATGGTGCAGCCACCGTGGGAAGCAGTCTGGCAGCTCCTCAACACAACCCTGGAATTCCACTCCTAGGTGTATACCCAAGGGACATGAAAACATGTGTCCACACAAACATTTGGACACAAATATCCATAACAGCATTGGTCATAATACTGTACTGATGAACATACATCGTTCATAATGGACAAAATGCAGAGACAACACAAACGTTCATCAACAGATGATGCACAAACTGTGGTCCATCCATACAACAGAATATGGTTCCGCCACAAAAAGGAATGCAGTCCGGATACATGCTACCACATGGATGAACTAAGTGACAGCAGACACCAAAGGTCACAAAGTGTAGGATCCAATCTCTATGAAAATGCAGAATAGGTAAACCCACAGAAGGAAAGCAAACTGGTGGTTTCCAGGGGCTGGGAGAGGAGAGGAAATGAGGAATAAGCGATCTCCTTTTGGGGCAATGAAACGTCCTGGAACTGACAGTGGTGAGAGTTACACAACGTTGCTCCTGAAGCCACCGAACTGTACACTTTAAAATGGTTAAAATGGTAAATACTATGTGTATTTTATTTAGACAACACAGTATGGGTAGACTCTTGCAGGACCCCAGGAGGGGCCTGGCAACAGCTGGGCAGTCTGAGCTCTGAGCCAATGACACAGTCACCAGAAGTGAGGGGCTGCTACTCTCCCCAGACGCTCCTACCCGATCTACCAGGGCTCTTCAGCCATCTGTACACTCGCTCACCCTCAGTGCAAACACCACATTAAAAAGAATCATGGTGGGAGCTTCCCTCTTCGGAGATGGATCTGTTTTGGAAACCTGGAAAAGAAATACATTCTAATGAGTGAGAGCCACCACATCCCAAGAAATCCTGTTTAGTGCTATCCTCCAGGCATGGGGAGAGGTTCCAGAATATAGCCGACCCAAAGAAAAACAGAGTCCTGGGGTCTTTGAGAAGTGATCACTGCCTCTGTGTGGGCAAGCACAGAGAGACGGCTGAGACGAGAGTGGGAGGGTCAGCGCTATGACCCAAAGTGACAAGACTACCCCAGTCAATGGGAGTGAGCTGAGGTGCCCCCGCGAGACAAGATGGGGAGAGGCTCGAGCAGAGGGGTATTCTCTGCCAGACTCTCCCCCGCCGCACTGCTGTTTTCAGTGTCCACCTGGGTCCTCTGTCTCTGCCAGGTATGGCAACCACTCAGGACAATTAAGAGACAGGATATTGCTCAGAGCCAGCAGAGACCAAGCTGCTGCTCCAGCTCCAGCCACCGCAGGTCACCAACACCAAGGTGAATACACGTGTTGCCACCAGGGGGCATGGGAGTGTGCGTGAAGGGGTGGTGGCCACATCTCCCTGGGCCATCCCAAGCAGGCTCTTTACCATCCCTGCCTGTCACTCCAGTTTGGTAGGGTGTGACTCCTGGCAGGATGTCAAATCTCCCCTCTGTCACCCAGACGTCAGCAGTGCGGACTGAGCCCTGTCTGCAGGGGCCTGGATAAAGAGGAAGGTGCCACCTGTGGGGCCCGGTGCACCCAGCCATGGTCTGATATCCTGGCATCTCCAACTGCCTCAGAAGCTCCTTCCACGGGCATATTCATGGATAAGATTTGAGGACTACAATTTCTGGATCATATAAATAGAGCTAAATCTTATGCCATCTTACAAAGCCCTGATTGTGCCTGTGTGCAAAGGACTGACTAGCAGGTTCTGGTGTCAAATTCCCTTGGGTAATAGTGCATTCAATCTTGTTAAAACCCCTCAGTACTGTAACATTTCATTCATCGGAGAATGCACATACAGGGTTTAGCGCAATAGTAAGACCAAATAATATTTGCTATGTCATCATTTAATAAGTAAGAAAAAATACTTGCACCACTTTAGAAACAGATGTCCTAGATATAAAGGGGAAGGTGGCAGTCAGGAGAGACCCAGGACGCAAAGAGCAAAAGCCAGGGGCAGGGACCGAACCCACGGGAGGCCTATGGGGACATGCGGCTGATTGTACACACGGACACACACACAGGGTCAGATATATGGCACGATACGATGGCTGCCTTCACCAGAGCCAGTGTGAGCCACGGCTCCCTGAGGGCCCCAGAGCCAGGACAGGCCATGCCTTCCCAGGGAGAACCTTACCTGCCCAGGGAGGGCCATACCTGTCCCAGGAAGAACCCCACCAGCCCCAGGGAGAACCTCACCTGCCCCAGGGAGAACCCCACCTGTCCCAGGGAGAACCCCACCTGCCCCAGGGAGAACCCCACCTGCCCCAGGGAGAACCCCACCTGCCCCAGGGAGAACCTCACCTGCCCCAGGGAGAACCTCACCTGCCCCAGGGAGAACCCCACCTGTCCCAGGGAGAACCCCACCTGTCCCAGGGAGAACCTCACCTGCCCAGGAAGGGCCATACCTGCCCAGGGAGGGCCATACCTGCCCCAGAGCATGCTGCAGCAGTGTCGGATGCCCAACAAACCGCACGTTATCAATCTTCAGTTCAAATTTTTGGCCACACATTTCAGACTTGGTTGCCAAAATTGTTGCCAGAATGACATCCGAAAACCTTAAAATTAAAAAAGGGCAGAGTGGAAGTAAGTAAACAAAGTGCCACAGTACCATGCCCACCTGCCCTCAGAGGGGAAAGGTCTCAGGACATGGCAGCTCCGTGTGTGGAGTGCTCTACCCCCACTGCGGACCTGGAAGCTTCTATCAATTGCCCTTCTGAAGCGATCCCCAAAACCGGGGACATAAAATCACCAGAATTACAAGGTAAAAGGCATGAGAAGCACAGACTGAAGGCACATGCTGTCATTTCTTGGCATGCTCTATGAAATTCAGGAGAGAGAACGAATTGCAGTTTGCTTTCAAAGGGGGGACAACAGCTGGAGCCGGCACCGTCCTGAGGGCCACTCGTTAAGGCGCACAGGTGTGGGGAGGGGTCTCCTGATCGGCCCAGGTTTGCCAGGCTGCACCCCTCCACCCCCAGGTGAGTAAAGGACAATACTAACTGCAGTGTGCTCATCACTTTCCTCACGGCATGGCTGCCCGGTCGTTCCCTTATGCTCAACATTTCAACCTTCTAGTTCTTACTGGGGAAGAAACCTTTAAGATGTGCAAAATGTGCAGAACCAGAGACATGATACGAAGGTGGGGATGCAAAGGACTGGATGCCATGGAAAAGCAGGCATGGCTGTGGTGGGACAGCAGATCTGGCTACGATCTCTGTAAAACTGCAGAGCTCACCCCCGTTCAAGATGCAGCTGTGCACTTATGTCTCCCCACTAGCAACCTTGCTCCTTCCTGCCCAAGGGGATCCAGATAAGCGAGAGTCACCACAGGGAGGAGAGTGCCGGGGGTGCAGTGTGGACTCTTATCTCGAAGCCCAGGCTCCAGGGGCCTCCACTCTAGAAACACTGATGTGCTGTGTCTGATCAGGAGCCAGGAGGAGACAAGTCCTGTGCTCATTTCTCCACCTGGGAAAGCATCTCTAACACCCAGGTCGAAGGGCACACTGTGTGAGGGAAGGTGGCTCCAGCTCCTTCAAGGCCACGCTCTGCCTGAAGAGGCCAATGAGGACAGACACTTGAGGGCGCATCCTGGGCCTTCACTGAGGAGCTCCGGTGAATCAGGGACCACACCAGATGTTTCTCTTCTAAAGGAGCTGGCTATGCGGGAGGGCGGCAATGAACACCCTAACGCTCCAAAAGGGAAGGTCCTGCTGCAGACTGCGGCTTCAGTTCAACTCTGAAATAGCAGATGACTTGGACATTAAGTGATCTAGGAAGGGGTCGTAGCTCTGGGCCCCTTATACACTTGGCAGGGCTCAATGTCTAATGTAAGAGAGGTAACTTAGAACCAGCCTGGAGCAAGAACCTCGCTGTGGTCAACCAGCACACGGACAAAAGCGCGACAGGCAGCTATGGGACTCTTCCCAAGCCTCTCCCCTGGATAGCCGGGGAGCCTAGCACTGCCAAGGGGGGCTGGTCATGCTGGCTTCCAGCCGTCCCCTAGGACCAACATGGGCCTCTCGGTGTCCTTGGTCACTCTGTGATCCCCAAACAAACCAGATGCAGGGGTCTGGGTCAAAACAGGCTGCCTTGCGTCCTGTACAGTCTGGAATGCAGCTGGACCTTTGGATACCAATGTTGTCAGAGACACTTTGGGAAACTCAGTACCCACAGCTCAAGTCCTTGGCTGCCCAATGTGGGTCACTCCTTCCCAGGAATACTGCTCTCTAGAGTGAATAAACCAGAGATGGAAGATTCCAGAGTCTTAGACAGGAGGCTTTACATGCTTTCTTCAAAAACTCTAAATGGCTTACCCTGCCCTGTAACTCCCATCTGAGGGATACAGTGATGGTGAGGGAGGGCTCAGGATGATAAAACCCTACTAAACACTTTTGCTCTAGTAACTGATCCAGTGCCAACATTCCAGACCCTATCTCAACAAACACGACCCCTCCACTCTGTCACCCAGTGATAAAAGGGATACAGAGGTGACGGAGAGAAAAACAACTTCCTACCATTCCAGAGGTTCACTTTTTCTTGTGATATCAAAAAATCTCCACTAAAAACCTCTGCTCCACCATGAAGAGCCACAGACGGGCCTCAGCCATGGCCTTTAGCCACCAGTCCAGGAACCTAAGTTTGGCTATGAGATGAGCCCTGAGATTCAGAGGACAACAGTAGTGGCCCAGTTCACGTTTATAAATATCCAGATCCAAGAGGTACCCTTCCAAGAGCCAAATAAAAAACACTTCCCCCTCTGGGTCCAGAAAGCACAGAGCAGAGGGGGCCAGCCTGAGAGCCACGTACTGCTGACATGAAAAGCCACACTGCCCTAGGTGACCATCAGGGAGGCCTCTCTGGGATGGCCCGCGCGGTGATGTTCAGCTGCTCTGCTCTATGAGCAGTCTGACCCACACAGAAACCCACTCACTGTGGCCTGGTATTACACACTTATGGTAAGAAAAATACTTGAGTACTGTGTCTGCTGACATCACACACACAAAGTCACAGAGTTCTATCACGAGATTTGGGGGAAGGGGACATAACTGATATAAACAGCAAAGTAAAACAAAAACGACGGACAATATCTGTTTCCAAAATTTACAAAAATCCTTTTCCCTTGTTTTGAAGATGAAAGGCCTGGTAAATACGTTGCAACATAATAAAATAGCTGTTATAAAAACTAATATTCCTGGAATAACTTTCAAATTAAAAAACAAATAAATAAATGCATTTGAGATGAACCAGCCCAGCTACAAAACAGGCAAGACTTTCCATTCCTGCTGGGATATTCAGGAACGGGCTGTTTCTACAGCTTGGCCAGGAAAAAAAAAAAAGGAGGAAGAGACAGCAATGGAAGGGAACTCCACTCTGCTCCCTCCTGTTTTTTTGGGGGGGGGAGGGCTCACAGACACTCCATGCACCTCCAACACCTGGGGGGTTGCCCCATCAGGGGCACAAGGGGTACCACACTATCCACACCCTTCTTGAGAAGTGCCATATAATCTCCATGGGAACATTTTTGCCTCTCATGGGCACACACAACAGCATCTAAATCCAAGCCTCACATTTAAACACCTGGCCCTTGGGAGAGGCCTCCTATAACTCCTCTGAGAAATGAAGGCAAGAAGCAATGATCAAGGGTCTCTCTAGGGGAAGCTGGCTAGGGAGACAGGGAGCCCTGTTCTTGCTTGCCTACCACCTTCCTGAGGCCACCAGTGGCTGTCTGGAGGAGGGGCGGTCTGTGTGCACGCCTGGTTCCAGAAGTCTCCCTGGCATCAGCCAACCTCGCCTTGGCCTCCCAGGTAATGTGGAACAGCTGAGTAACTCCAGGTGGAGAAAGGGCAGGGGCCGTGGGAAGCCGGGACACTCGTGGGGGGATTGGGCAGTGAGGACCGAGCCAGAGCCTGTGTGCCTCGTTAGTCATTCTTCAACACTGAGGGCAATCAGGAGTTAAGCACAATTACAAGAGAAGGCAGCAGGAATCAAGACAGAAAGGTGGTGGAGAAGTGTTGGTCTTACCCTGCAACCAATCGCTCATCGGTTGGAGGACATGGCTCGCTGGAATGGGAACAGGACCATCAAGACCAAACAAACACACTGATTTTAAAAATCACGAATAGTTACAAGGCTGTTTTATTAAAACAGTATTAAAGTCTAGCAGAAGTACTACCATAAGCATTAACCGCTGAGGGCAAGGCTAAGCAACTTACTGGACAAGAAAGAAGATACAGACACTTGCCAAGTTCAAGACTTACCAGAGTTTTCTCACGAAAGCTTAAATTCCCACATGTAAACAGAGCCTGGGCACAGCTGAGAGCCAATTTTCAGAAGCAAGAGCAAGGCTGGAAGACCTGGACCCAGCACCACACATATTAGCTGGACACCCACACACAAGCATTTTAGTCTTTCTGATGAAACCGTCTCCGCGAGATCCCTTACGAGAACTGTAGAATGCCACTGGATATCTGAACTTCAACCCTTGAGGTACTGTGACTGCCTACACACCCAAACTCGCCGAGCCTTTGCTCAGCACAGGACCACGGGCCCTCTGGCAGCAAGGAGGCGGTGGCACCTCTGCACATGCAACTCCACACCCATGCACTGTGCAACTTGAGTTCTGTAGAGAGGACGTTTAGAAGAGTCAAGCTACTCTGCAGAGTGTTCTAGGACAGTCCCCGGACTCCAGGAAACAGAGAGCAGCCCAGACCCCGGAGTGGGGACAGCACTGGAGGGACGAGAGCCTACCACAACCCCGTGCCATGACTACCGGGCTGCCCTGCTGCTCCCCACAGCTCTCACCGAGAAATACGTACCACATACCCACAGCACAGAAGCACACAGCCAAGAGCCCCTTTTTCAACAGCTCCCGAACATCAGCTCATCAGTGTCCATAGTATGAAAGGGGGAAGGTGTTCTGTGGACTTTCCCAAGATCACCCAGAAAGTCAGAATCCCTAGAAGCTCAAGTGCAACTCCTACAACTTTTATCTCCTACAACCAAACAGGTCATAACGAAACCCCTCTACTTTCCAAAGGGAAGAAGCATGTGGGGCTTCCAAGTATCAGCAGTGCTCTTTTCCATACCAGGTTGTGGAGGTGACGCGTCAAACGCCCCTGGCATGTGTCATGAACTTGTGTCTGCCCCTGTGCGGGAGGCAGAGCCCCCAGCAAGCACTCTCACCAAGACACAGATGTTCCCATGATACCCAGACCTGGGAGGGGAGACAGAGGTGCCCTGCCACCCTCAGGTATCTTAAGACACCCAAACTGAGGCTCATGGTACGAGGAACGTGCCCGAGACTATACACCGTAGGTGCAAAATGAGAGTCACACCCAAAACCCAACCCTGTACTTGTCCCAGCACACTGTCAGCCTGCAAGCGCCAGAGTGGACGCACCAGTGTACTTACTGGCTGGGCCAGGAAAGGGGTGGGGGATGCACAAGCTTGGGGACAGCACTGCTTATCCACCTTCTGGGCACTGACCCCAGCTTTAGGGAATAGGGGCTCCTTCCTTCCTTCTTTCCTTCCTTCGCCTGCTTTCCTTCCTTCCTTGACTATTTATTTATTTGACAGAGAGAGAGAGAGACAGAGAGAGCACAAGCAGGGGGAGCAGCAGAGGGAGAGGGAGAAGCAGCCTTCCCACTGAGCAGGGAGCCCGGTGTGGGGCTCGATCCCAGGACCCTGGGATCATGACCTGAGCCGAAGGCAGACGCTTCACCGATGGAGCCACCTTACTAACACATGGCCACACGCACGCTAGCAGAAGCAATGCTGTCAAGAGAGGCCTGGTGGAGCCCCGTGCACCTGGGGGAGAGGACTAGGTGTGTGCCAGTTTGCACCCTGGCACGACTAGCCAAGGTTCCCATCTGGCTGAGGATGTGAATGTGCCCCAAAGCTGGATCCACTGCTTAAAGAAAGGTGGTCAAGCCTGAGGAAGGCAGGAGTGCCACCTGATTCCACTGCCCCACCGGGAATGTAACAATGCAGAGAATTTAAAGGTGTGGACAGAAATCTTTCACGCTTCTGAGGTCTTCTGGATGGTATCTAGAGTAAAATGATTTCTGAGTGTTTTGAAATGAAGTCGACTCTTCTTCAAGCTACCATCTTGTCCTCTGAGATCGTGCCCAGAACACTCCACGTTGGGAGGGATGGTGCCAGTGACAGCATTTGTGACTGATACCAGGCTTTCTCCAGGACCTCTCCTGATGGCTTTTCCCTGCCGGTGTGGCAGATGCATAATGCTATTAAGCATGACCACCCCAGAGGCGCCTGGGTGGCTCAGTCCATGAAGCGTCTGCCTTCGGCTCAGGTCATGACCCAGGGTCCTGGGATCGAGCCCTGCATCGGGCTCCCTGCTCAGTGGGGAGTCTGCTTCTCCCTCTCCCTCTGCCACTCCCCCTGCCTGTGCTCTCTCTTAAATAAATAAATAAAATCTTAAAGAAAAAAAAAAAAAGAGCATGAGCTCTCTGGTCCCCAGCGTTCATCCAACAGGAGCACTACAACTTTTCTACATTTGAATTTCAAGCCTTAAAGACAATGGACAATATCCATTTTCTTCCCTTCCTACTGAATTCTATAAGAGGCTTTTTTAATAAAAAGGTTTAAAAAACCCTGCCAGTTAATTCTTACACCCTGAAGCACAACATCTTGATTCACCTTTAGAAGCAGCACATGCTCTAAGACAGTGTTGTCCAACAGAACCTCCTACAGCAAATCTGAGCCGTTCAGTGCAGCAGCCACCAGTCACCTGTGGCCCAAGCACCTGAAATGCGGCTGGTGCAAGGAGGAACTGAATTTCATCTAAGTTCATTTCTATTTAAATGGTGACTTTAATACTGGGCAGCACAGCCCTGCGTCCTCACTTCTCTAGGGCAGCGCCATCTACCACCATACTCAGAAGTTGCACAAGTGGCCTGTTAACATGGCTTCAGTCTGGCAAGACGAGCAGGAGGAACATTCTGCTGGTTCCCGAAGAAAAGCACCTTTGAGAGGACCACTGAGGACAACCCTGTAGTACTCCAGGAAGATGTCTGAGCCATGGCATGGCTCCCCCAGGTGCCAGAGGTTTGGCAGGCCAATGTGATGAAATAAAGCTGGGCGCTCAGAGGTATTAACCTGTATCTCTGACAAGGGGGCAGGTGGGGAGTGGGATCGTCAGATGCTATAATGTGCCACAATTACCAAAGGAAGTAATTCTCAAATTTAATGAAAGAGAGAGTACGGAGAACCAGCTCTTCTTAGTGAACAGCATATCTGTGATACCCTGATAGACCCATAATGTCTTGCTCCCTTCCCATGGTTTTTCCTCTTCTTTACGCTAAATATTTAAATAACTCCCTAAAAACATTCTCTTAGTCTTTTATTATAAGCCTCTGAGAGTTAACTGCAGGAGTCAGGTGCTGCCAGCCTCCTAGGAAACCCAAATAGACTGTTCCAAGAGCACTTTCTGCATTTTCAGCAGCCTGAGCCTCCCATCTGTGGAGCCTGGAGATCGGCAGGCAGGGGGCCAGCCCTGCTCTAAAGGAACCTATGCCACAGGTGGAGGACAAAATGCACCCACCTCATGGGCAGGGGCAAAAAGCTTTCTATGCACCTGGAACAAACAAGAGTTTGCTCCAAGTGGCCGACCTCAGAGGACAAGGTGACCACAGCCTCTACATCAAGCAGAACAACCCATGGACGTCCAACAGTCCCCCACACCCCCTACCCCGCCCCCCTGCTGGTCTCTCCTTCAAAGCTGGCTGCCCTCAGAGACAGTCACTGGTCATGCCCCCCCATACCCTCACAAGAAAGGACAAAAACCACACTCGTGGAACTGCATAATACCATGGCAGGTGTGGTGCCTTGTCAAGAGAACTGAGGGAGGCTGTACTCCATGGCACTGCATGCAAAGTTCACTCCATGGCAAAGGCCCAGGTGGGGGCCTCGGCTCTGCGGCCACGGGACGGCGGAGGCCGAGTCCTTTCCCTCACTCATGCCCCAGCTGTGTTTAGAGGCACCCAGGACAGGCAGTTTACAACCCTTCCTCCTTCAGCTGAGCCTGCGTTACCATTTACTAAGCTTTAAAATAAACATAAGGGAGAAGTAGTCATGTGTGATGTTTGCCACCCTGACAGCACAACCCAGAAAAAGCAGGGGGAGCACACACAGGAAGGAACAAGACCAGCCCTTCATCTATGCCCTAAAAGAGCAAGGGTCACATCAGCCCTGGCTCTCAGCCCACAGTACCACCTTAACTGGCTGCGCTGCACCCAAGCCCCTCCGTGTGACCTCTGGGCACATGCCTGAGGAGTCAGGTCTGAGGACAGTACCGGAGTCTGCTCTCCCCTCTGTTCCTCTCACAGAAGACAAACGTTCGCTCTGGCCTCGTCCGTCCTCTGGTCTGTTTTACCAACCAACCCGTTCCACAGCTGGAACCTGTGACCACAGCAAGTCAGGCATTGGTAGCACAATTACCAGCTCTGCACAACCTGAAACACCCACCAAATGGAAAAAAAAAGGACACCAGGTTTCTCACGGGAGAAAACCTGTGGGTCAACAGGCCTGGGGGCAGGACTAGCCCCATCGCAGCGTGACTGCAAAGCCCTTACCTGGAATCACCATCCTGGTCGTCCGCATGGTCTCCAGTGTTGTTGACGGCGTATCTGCTACGAGGCTTATCTGAGTGAGGGCAAAAAGAGGAGAGTGGCTGAGAAATCAGGATCCGTCCACCTACCGGGGGATGGTGGATGCATTAAAAGTGATGGATTCTAGGGGCGTCTGGGTGGCTTAGTCAGTTAAGCGTCTGCCTTTGGCTCGGGTCATGGTCCCGGGGTCCTGGGATTGAGCCCCGCATCGGGCTCCCTGCTCGGCGGGAAGCCTGCTTCTCCCTCTCCCACTCCCCCCTGCTTGTGTTCCCTCTCTCACTGTGTCTTTCTCTGTCAAATAAATAAATAAAATTTAAAAAAAAAAAAAAAAGTGATGGATTCTAAAATGTGATATATATACACAGTGGCCATAAAAAGGAACGGAGTTCTGATACATGTTAGAACATGGAGAACTTGAAAACATTATGCTAGGTGAAGGAAACCAAACACAAAAGGACAAATACCACACCTATATGAAATATCTGCAGTGGGCAAACTCACAGAGACAGAAAATAGATCAGAGGTTACCAGAGGCTGAGAACAGAGGAAACGGGGTTATTGCCTAATGGTTACGAATTTCAGTTTGGGGTGATGAAAAGTTCTGGAACTACACAGTGATGATAGTTGCATAACAGCGAATTAATTATGGTGAATGTAACTAATGTTACTGAATTGTAAACTTAAAAATGGTTAAAATGGCCAATTTTATGTTACATATTTTTTACCATAACAAAAATTTTTTCAAAAAAGTTATGGTTTCCAGAGTGACTGGATCGCTCAAGTCAGTGAAGTGACCAACTCCTGGTTTCAGCTCAGGTCATGATCTCACTGTCCTGAGATTGCTCCGTGCTCAGCAGGCAGTCCACTTGAAGATTCTCTCCTGCTGCCCCTCCCTCCCTTCCTGTGCTCACACCCTCTACCAAATAATTTTTTTAAAAGATTCTATTTATTTATTTATTTGAGAGAGAGAGAGAAGGAGGGAGGGAGAGAGAGAGAAACAGCATGAGAGGGGAGAGGGCCAGAGGGAGAAGCAGGCTCCCCGCTGAGCCGGGAGCCCGACGCGGGACTCGATCCCAGGACTCGGGGATCATGACCTGAGCCAAAGGCAGTCGCTTAACCAACTGAGCCACCCAGGCGCCCCGCTACCAAATAATTTTCTTAAAGATTTTATTTACTTATTTGAGAGAAAGAGTGAGCGAGAGAAAGCACACAAGCAGGGGGAGGAGCAGAGGGAGAGGGAGAAGCAGACTCTCCACTGAGCAGGGAGCCCCACAGCCCCGGGCCTTGATCACAGGACCCGGGGATCATGACCTAAGCCGAAGGCAGACACTTAACGAACTGAGCCACCCAGGTGCCCCATCAAATAAATAAATATTTTTTAAAAAGTTATATTTTCCAAGAAGTTACGATAACAGCAAATGTTTTTGCTACTGTATTTAGTTTAGTTTTTTTTTTTTTTTTTTAAAAAGGATTACACACATGCACACATACAGACCCTCTCAGTATATGATGACAACTAGGTCAGAAAAAGCATACGCAAAAGAAAGAATTTTTAAATGTCCGTATGCCAGTATCCTTCACATACTTTACCAGAGTAATAAAGACCCTGGGATGAACTTAAGTTCATCACAGGCAAGAGGTCCATGAGGAAAATCAGAAATGCTAGCAAGGGAGACACAAACAAAAAGAAGACATGCTATGCCCTTGAGTAGGGGGATGAACACAAAGATGCCACTTGTTTCCAGTTAACCCATCCATTTAACATGACCCTCACAACGACAGTTTGGGAGTAGGGCCCAATACATTCAGTACTAATAATGTTCCAAGGGAACAGTAAGCACAAACAGCCTGGGTAATGCTGAAAAAGAGAAGTAATGGTCAGTGACTAATCCTATCTGAAAGTATAACACAGTGTAAAGTTACAATAATTCACCGGTGTGGAACCCACATCACTGGGAGAAATAAGAAAAGTCAAAATAAACTCAAATAAACATGGAATTAATGTGTGATAAAGGAGAAGAATCAATCAGGGAGGAAAGAGAAAATTATGGTGGCTCCTGAACCAACCACTCTGCAGCCGTGGGGCCCCGGGTCCCCACACCCTTCCTCACTCAGCACAGCACCCGCTCACAGTGCTCCAGGACATGCACAAACAACTCTTGCAAGTGTGAAGAAGACACCAACTCCTAGCAGGAGCCTCCACCTTACACCAAGATAAACACATTTAAAAAAACAAGATAATAGGGGTGCCTGGGTGGCTCAGTCGTTAAGCGTCGGCCTTCC